CCCCCCCCCCCCCCCCCCAAGGCACGAGACGCAGACGCTCACGCCTGCGGCCGACGTTTCTGAGCTACGCCCACCCAGTCTTCCTGAAACTTCCCCAGGTCCCCAAAACTGCAAGAACCTCCAACATCCTGAACCCCTTATTAAGCTGGCATGATCTCGCTTTCTGATAGCCCAGAAACTGAGCATCAGCCCCTGATCATCCGTCTCTCCTCGGATGGGCGGAATGATTCATTAGGGCCTCAGGATGGGCTTGCGACCCAGGCTCCAACCCGGAGCTCGAGGGGCTTTGTGGAGATAACGAATAGGGGATCAGCCCACCCCAAAACCTTTGGACACAGACAGGCCATCTTGAACTCTGCCCGCCAGGTGTCGCATGAAGTCGCTGAGACTCTTGTCCAAGAGCTCCTCATCAGTTCATCAGCATTCCCATGCGACATGGGACCAACAAAGCTGTGTTGTGTCAAACCTTCATCCCTCGTCATCCCTGAAGACTCCAGGACCTGTGGACTCACTCCGAAACCTGTACCCCAAGTGCCCAAGTGCATGCATACTTGCCAGGCAAGAGGCAAACACCAAGCAGCAGTGGTTCAGATCATGGGTAAACTCTCCCAGAAGCTTGACGCAGTAGCTCTGTCTGCCTGGATCACCTGGGGGGGGGGGGGTTGAATTTTCAAGGCTTCATGAGAAGCTCCACTTAGAAGAAAGCGTGTTCTTGGAAGGAGTCAACTCCGTTCAGGCCGGCCGCATCTGCGCAGCTCCCTGAGCAGCTCCGCCTCGGCATGCGCGTGCTCTTTGTACCGCGCCACACCTGCGCTCCGATTTGGTGCTTTAAGAGGGGGGGCTCATGTTTAGGGGACTTAGGGGGTTCTGGGCTTCGACCCTGGAGTCGGCTACATGCATGTGGACGGCTCCGAACGGTAGCCTCGTGACTGTCAGTGCTCTCCGCTCATGAACTTATAAGATCACCGACATCAATTGACTGAGCGTTTCACGAGTCAGCCGAAACGTTCTTTCTCACTTGCTTTAAGGGTCAGCCTTGCCATTATGAAACCTCCCAATACTCATGCTCGTTGGGACCGTTGCTTGTCGCTCTGCGAGGTTTGGTGCTTGCTACCGACCACCTGTTCAACTGCAAAACTGCGAACAAGCTTTGAGGAGCAGTTCGCCCACGAAAACGCCCCGCCTTTCACCACCTTCACTGCCACCAGCTGCTTCGTCGACTCCTCGAAGCAAGCCAGAACTCGGCCGAAGGAGCCCTCACCCACCTGACAGAAGCGTTATCTGTTGTGCGATTGTCCCTACTTTGAAGAGTACGCGCTTGAATTCCATTGGGGTATATCTGAAGGAAATGAATGGTAGATGGGGGCTTCCAGCTCACTGCTCGCGCTTCGGCTCAAGTTTGCTCACTCCGAAAACAAGGCACTTAACAATCTTAATCCCATCCCCCTATTAATTAAATGGGGGGCTCCCCCCCCCCCTCAATAAACACTCGAAATGTGCTTTCAATATTAGGGGGGTGTTTGTATCCAAATGGGTCCAAAGGGTTTAGCGTCTAGAGTTCAGGGCCAGGCTCACAGACAGCTAAGTGCTGCGAAGTGACTGGGAGGGAAGGGAGGGCTGGGAGCTTCAGGATGTTGGTTGGCTTGAGGGTGTTGGGAGCCCCCCCCCCCCCCCCCCCCCCCCCCCCAATTCGGAATAGGCTTTGAAAGGCGGGGTCGGTTTCGGCAGGATTTCCGGAAAGTGTTTTATTTATTGGGGGTACGTTTAATGCAAGGGGGATGGGATTAATGAGGATGTAAAGGGTTCCACATCCACACCCCGAACTCCTTAATATTAAGATTCAAAGTGTCTGCCTGCTTGCGCACGATGTAGTTGCCGGTGCCCAGTTTCATGCCCCGAGTCCAGTGGAAGTGAGGGGTGTCCCGGTTCTGCTTGCCTGGGCGCTAGAGATTCTCGAGCACTTAGTAGAGCATCTAGAAGAGAACATATAGGCACTGCTATAAATCACCCTTCAAGCGGTGCGTTCTTGGCTGGAGGGCTGAGCACCCATACATCCTTCGTCCTTGGTCCTGCAGGCCATAGCCTACTAGCCCAGGACTCCTAGCCAGTTTTTCGAGTAACTGACCTCAAACCAGAAATCCTACATTCAAACAACAACCGCTCTCACTGGCTGCAGAATCACTGACCGGAACCCTCAATCACAAAACCCTAAGCTCTACGACAAACACGACATGCAGGGTGACCAGCATAGACCGGCGAACGATCCGGGCCTACCTCTACTGTGCATCCAGGTAACGTTCCTCGGAGTTCTCGCTGGAATCAGTTTGCCGCTCCCCTGCAGGTTGCACGCTTGTGAAATTCGAGTCAACTGTGCAAATCTCAGCTCTCCGTGGTGTGCAGGTTACTGTTCCCAGTAGCCCTGGAGAGCCTGGGGCGTTGAGAAGAAACTGATGCTCGTGGTGACAGCTTAGGTAGCAAGATGCTTGGCAGGCCTGACAAGGTGCCGGGGGGGTGCGAGGGGGGATTTGCCTGTGTCAAGGGCGCTCGCTTTGCTTGCATCCTATGGCAAAGTCCGGCTGATGCTCACTTGACGAGTGGCCTCTGGGCAAGAGCCAGTCCGGCTGATGCTGGTGATGCTCGATTTGCAAGGCCAGTCTGGCTGATGCTCGTGATGCTCGATTTGCTTGCGGCCTGTGTCAAGGCTCAGCCCGGCGGATGCTCACGATGCTCGCTTTGCTTGCGTCCTATGGGAAAGGGCAGTCTGGCTGATGCTCGTGATGCTCGATTTGCTTGCGGCCTGTGTCAAGGCTCAGCCCCGGCTGATGCTCATGCTGCTCGCTTTGCTTGCGTCCTATGGGAAAGGGCAGTCTGGCTGATGCTCGTGATGCTCGATTTGCTTGCGGCCTGTGTCAAGGCTCAGCCCGGCTGATGCTCATGATGCTCGCTTTGCTTGCATCCTATGGGAAAGGGCAGTCTGGCTGATGCTCGTGCTGCTCGATTTGCTTGCGGCCTGTGTCAAGGCTCGGCCCGGCTGATGCTCATGATGCTCGCTTTGCTTGCGTCCTATGGGAAAGGGCAGTCTGGCTGATGCTCGTGATGCTCGATTTGCTTGCGTCCTATGGGAAAGGGCAGTCTGGCTGACTCGTGATGCTCGATTTGCTTGCGGCCTGTGTCAAGGCTCAGCCCGGCTGATGCTCATGATGCTCGCTTTGCTTGTCCTATGGGAAAGGGCAGTCTGGCTGATGCTCATGATGCTCGATTTGCTTGCGGCCTGTGTCACGGCTCTGCCCAGCTGAGGGCAGTCTGGCTGATGCTCGTGATGCTCGATTTGCTTGCGGCCTGTGTCAAGGCTCAGCCCGGCTGATGCTCATGATGCTCGCTTTGCTTGCGTCCTATGCAAAAGGGCAGTCTGGCTGATGCTCATGATGCTCGATTTGCTTGCGGCCTGTGTTAAGGCTCAGCCCGGCTGATGCTCATGATGCTCGCTTTGCTTGCGTCCTATGGGACAGGGCAGTCTGGCTGATGCTCGTGATGCTCGATTTGCTTGCGGCCTGTGTCAAGGCTCAGCCCGGCTGATGCTCATGATGCTCGCTTTGCTTGCGTCCTATGGGAAAGGGCAGTCTGGCTGATGCTCGTGATGCTCGATTTGCTTGCGGCCCGTGTCAAGGCTCAGCCCGGCTGATGCTCATGATGCTCGCTTTGCTTGCGTCCTATGGAGTCTGGCTGATGCTCGATTTGCTTGCGGCCTGTGTCAAGGCTCAGCCCGGCTGATGCTCATGATGCTCGCTTTGCTTGCGTCCTATAGGAAACGGCAGTCTGGCTGATGCTCGTGATGCTCGATTTGCTTGCGGCCTGTGTCAAGGCTCAGCCCGGCTGATGCTCATGATGCTCGCTTTGCTTGCGTCCTATGGGAAAGGGCAGTCTGGCTGATGCTCATGATGCTCGATTTGCTTGCAGCCTGTGTTAAGGCTCAGCCCGGCTGATGCTCATGATGCTCGCTTTGCTTGCGTCCTATGGGAAAGGGCAGTCTGGCTGATGCTCGTGATGCTCGATTTGCTTGCGGCCTGTGTCAAGGCTCAGCCCGGCTGATGCTCATGATGCTCGCTTTGCTTGCGTCCTATGGGAAAGGGCAGTCTGGCTGATGCTCATGATGCTCGCTTTGCTTGCGTCCTGTGGGAAAGGGCAGTCTGGCTGATGCTCGTGATGCTCGATTTGCTTGCGGCCTGTGTCAAGGCTCAGCCCGGCTGATGCTCATGATGCTCGCTTTGCTTGCGACCTATGGGAAAGGGCAGTCTGGCTGATGCTCGTGCTCGATTTGCTTGCGGCCTGTGTCAAGGCTCAGCCCGGCTGATGCTCATGATGCTCGCTTTGCGTGCGACCTATGGGAAAGGGCAGTCTGGCTGATGCTCGTGATGCTCGATTTGCGTGCGGCCTGTGTCAAGGCTCAGCCCGGCTGATGCTCATGATGCTCGCTTTGCTTGCGTCCTATGGGAAAGGGCAGTCTGGCTGATGCTCGTGATGCTCGATTTGCTTGCGGCCTGTGTCAAGGCTCAGCCCGGCTGATGCTCATGATGCTCGCTTTGCTTGCGTCCTATGGGAAAGGGCAGTCTGGCTGATGCTCGTGATGCTCGATTTGCTTGCGGCCTGTGTCAAGGCTCAGCCCGGCTGATGCTCATGATGCTCGCTTTGCTTGCCTGTCCTATGGGAGGGCAGTCTGGCTGATGCTCGTGATGCTCGATTTGCTTGCGGCCTGTGTCAAGGCTCAGCCCGGCTGATGCTCATGATGCTCGCTTTGCTTGCGTCCTATGGGAAAGGGCAGTCTGGCTGATGCTCGTGATGCTCGATTTGCTTGCGGCCTGTGTCAAGGCTCAGCCCGGCTGATGCTCATGATGCTCGCTTTGCTTGCGTCCTATGGGAAAGGGCAGTCTGGCTGATGCTCGTGATGCTCGATTTGCTTGCGGCCTCAAGGCTCAGCCCGGATGATGCTCATGATGCTCGCATTGCTTGCGTCCTATGGGAAAGGGCAGGCTGGCTGATGCTCGTGATGCTCGATTTGCTTGCGGCCTGTGTCAAGGCTCAGCCCGGCTATGATGCTCGCTTTGCTTGCGTCCTGTGGGAAAGGGCAGTCTGGCTGATGCTCGTGATGCTCGATTTGCTTGCGGCCTGTGTCAAGGCTCAGCCCGGCTGATGCTCATGATGCTCGCCTTGCTTGCGTCCTATGGGAAAGGGCAGTCTGGCTGATGCTCGTGATGCTCGATTTGCTTGCGGCCTGTGTCAAGGCTCAGCCCGGCTGATGCTCATGATGCTCGCTTTGCTTGCGGCCTATGGGAAAGGGCAGTCTGGCTGATGCTCGTGATGCTCGATTTGCTTGCGGCCTGTGTCAAGGCTCAGCCCGGCTGATGCTCATGATGCTCGCTTTGCTTGCGTCCTATGAGAAAGGGCAGTCTGGCTGATGCTCGTGATGCTCGATTTGCTTGCGGCCTGTGTCAAGGCTCAGCCCGGCTGATGCTCATGATGCTCGCTTTGCTTGCGTCCTATGGGAAAGGGCAGTCTGGCTGATGCTCGTGATGCTCGATTTGCTTGCAGCCTGTGTCAAGGCTGATGCTCATGATGCTCGCTTTGCTTGCGTCCTATGGGAAAGGGCAGTCTGGCTGATGCTCGTGATGCTCGATTTGCTTGCAACCTGTGTCAAGGCTCAGCCCGGCTGATGCTCATGATGCTCGCTTTGGTTGCGTCCTACGGGAAAGGGCAGTCTGGCTGATGCTCGTGATGCTCGATTTGCTTGCGGCCTGTGTCAAGGCTCAGCCCGGCTGATGCTCATGCTTGCGGCCTGTGTCAATGCATGCTTTTCTCCGTGGCGTGTGGGTGCAACTTAGAAGGCGGCACAGCCTGAGAGTTCAAAGCCGTGCGGCAAGACAAAAGAGCAGCGAAAGGCAAAAGAGCGCACTTAAAAGTGCAAGGAGATTGGAGCAACAAACCAATGCCGGCGACAAGCAGGCACTAGCTTGCTGCTCATGCCCGGGCGGGCCGGGCGGGAGGCTTGAGCAGCCACCCGATCGCATGAATTCATACCTGACATGAATGCATGCTTTTCTCCGTGGCGTGTGGGTGCAACTTAGAAGGCGGCACAGCCTGAGAGTTCAAAGCCGTGCGGCAAGACAAAAGAGCAGCGAAAGGCAAAAGAGCGCACTTAAAAGTGCAAGGAGATTGGAGCAACAAACCAATGCCGGCGACAAGCAGGCACTAGCTTGCTGCTCATGCCAAATCCAATGCTACGCAGAAAGCGCAACCGACAAGCGGCCAGCAGGAGTGTTGCAGCCCGACGCCAGGAGTGAAGAATCCACGCCGCTCAACGCGGATCGGCTGAGACAGCTGCAATCAAGCAAGAACAAACAGACTCAAACAACCTGACACGCTCTAAGGCGCGATTCGGAAGCTGTCTCAAAGAGGATTCAACTGCAGTTTCTTGTAAATAGTGAGACAGAGTCCTCTGGTTGGAGACGCGAAGCCGCCACATGATGGTAGAAATATCAAGATTCAAAAAGTACATGTGGCAGGCTGCGCCACCTCGCACGCCTCCTGGCGTGATGAATTTAGTTGGCAGCAAGAGGATCTTACAAATGGTATCCCACCGCCTTCGAAACATGGCAGGGGAGCCAGGCCACAAGCGCTCGTGACACCCAAGGTCGCGAAACACACCCTGCATAAGGCCAATGCACTCAGCATCGGTTACGGAGGCATGTTGCTGCCTGGCTCCTCCCCGCCCTGCAGTCTTCGGTTTCCCTATCTTCACATATAGCCGATTTGGACACTCGTACAGTCCATCGCAGGGAAACATGAGATCTAGCCGCATTGCCACGAGCGGTTCGATGGATCGGAGACCTCCATGAAACATTAAAAACAAAACTCCAGCGAAACGCACCCAACCAAGACACAAAGCAACAGAGACAATAGCCCTAACAAGCATGCTACTAACAGGTCTCCGATGCTCAGGTGGCTCAAGTTCTATCCACACCCTGCAAAAATCCCAACTTCCAGCGAACCTCGATCTCATCCAAGCATGGGTTTTCTGCAGGGAAGTGATGAGATAAACAAGCCGGTAATACGGCCAGTCTTCAGAATAGAGCCACTCCCCGAAACAAACCACTAGACGATCGAGCGCCCACGGGTCCCTGGCCAAAGCATCGATGCCGCACGAGATCCCCTTATCAGAAAGCCACCCTTCAAAAATTGACACGGACTCGGACTCACGTCTAGTCGTGGCGGGGGTCACTCGACGGACAGTTTGAAATGATTCTAGAGATCTCCTGGCCCTTCTTGGTCGCGGGGCGGCGACCACGGGCAGGATAGCAAGCAAGACAAAAGTCGTCAAGTTGAAAGTCCAAACAGCATGCGCAAAAGCGTGGTTGTGATCACTGCAAATCGCATCAAACTTACGGCGACTCCCACGTGAAGCGTTCCTATGTCTAACACTCGCATCGGGGCTCCACCCCGCAGGCATGGTGGAATATCCACAAGAGAAACTACAAACCTCAGCTAACAGCAACTGCAAACCCTTGGGATAATGACCGAAACTGTCAGACAAGGATTTTCCACCAGGCCCCGCACCACGCAAATGCAGATGCTTGTTCTTGCAGGCGCATAGCAAACGCTCGGGCATGACGGCTAAGTCAGTCAAGAACCCCATACGCTTACGATAGGGGGTACCAACCCTACAGCAATCAACACTCGAGAACCTGAAGCACCCGGACTTCGAAAAATCCAACCCCTTGCGAAGCAGCTTTGCAAACCTGCGTTGGAACCAAAAGAAACTTGTTTGGGGATTGCCAAGAATGAAACGCACGCCAACCTTCACACACAAACTCACAACACGGTGACAAAATCGATTCTCGGCATTCCCTTTCCTCACTTTGCGGAACATGCCTGGCGCCATGTGTTGCATGCCACTGGGCTCGGCCGTTGACCGGACGGGTGGCGTAATAGCCCTGGAAAAAGTCCCGCAGTCGGGCGAGAGCAAGGCACAACTGATGGAACTAGACGAGATCAGCTCTTCAATTTCACGGGAAGCGGAGGGGTCATGTATATCCTTCATGTCGAAGTGAACAACCCACGGCGCCCCGCTGCGGATCACACTCTGAGCAAACTCACGAAGACCAGTGCCCAGGCAAAGGACTCCTCCAGGCTTAGGGCGCCAATTCCGGTAGGAACCGTCTGCCTTCAAAAATCGTGAAACGGGAAGTCTCATTAAAATGTCAGACGCTGCACTGGACAGTTCCTCGGCTTCAGCCAAGCGCAAGTCACCAGGGGCAACGCAACTCATCTGAGGTCTGTCTTCACTAAGGGTTTGCGCAATGGAGTCAGCCTTGGCACAGCCATCGGGCCCCTCAAGCAAATCAGACGTCTCAAACAAAGCATTGCTACCAGGATCAGCATGCAACTGAGTATGCTCAATGCCACTGGAACTCGTCCGCTCGCAAGCTTTCATCAATCTTGTTACGAACTCGGGACCGTGTTCGGACGTAACATCTCGGAGAAGATCACTGATGCTTGGGTCGCTAGCACGGTCTGGCGGGAAAACATCGGAGAGATGCTTGTCCAAAGAAAAAAATTCTCCTTGCTGCAGATCAATCAGCCATTGTGGGGCACAACGCCTAGGATCCCGAAGAGGTTTGTCCCTAGTGGGATCATCAGCAGGGTTATTCGAGGTACTAACCCAAAACACCTTCGTCTGCACACCTCCAGCAATAACTCCAGGAAGCATACCCTTCAGGACTTGGTTCAGCTGGGGAGATGACGATCGCCCTTTAGCAATGGCTGCTGCGGCAACCTGAGAATCAGTTCCGAGGAGCTGCCTCGAGCCAGGATACAAGGACTCGGCCCTTGCTTCTGCAGCTCCGATGGCTCTGAGCTCTGAAATATTTATATGCTCGGTCGGGCGTGCAGGGGCGACGAAGCTGGTCCGGAATTTCAAGCACTGAGCAACTTCTTCAAAAAGTGGCGTGGATTGATGCTCGACCCCAAGCGTGTCAAAAGGATCATCGTCCCCTAAGTCCCGCTGGCGCAGCCAAGCCTGGACCGGAGTCAGGAGTTTTACCCACGCACCTTTCCGCAATGCAAACCGGCTCAGTTCTTGCACGACGCTAGCTGGCACTGATGCATGAACCCCTGCAATTTTGGAGGATGAAGCGTCTGTCATGACAAGCTCGTTTACGAAAGGCGCCCTCAGATTAGTATGAATAAACGGCGCGACAATGCAAACAGTTAGCAACTCCTGCTTCAACCTTCGGCTCATCCTAACAACCGACGTCCGAGGAAACCTGTGAGGCATCTCATAAGCAAGGTCAAGTAAGCAGTAAAAACGTCGGTTATGCTGCATGACAGAGCTCCACATCCCCACAATGCTTTCCAGCAGGGCGACAGACGTGTACCCCAAGTCAACGAGAGATAGCGTCAAGTTCAAAAGCGAAAGAACTTTGCAGACAGGAGCCCTATAAGTCCCTGAAACCCCATCGACTTCGGAGCCCCAGACGTGGAACTTTGAAGCCCTCACGACCTCTTTCTCGGGGTGAGACTGTAGCCCCACAAACTCGTAGGCCCGTTTCAGGCGTTGAAGCCTCTGATACGCCTCCGAATCTTCAAGAAACTCCTCAGCGACACTGGGCCCACTACAGTGCGAGGGCGGGTGCTCCGAAACGGGCTCTTGCTCGCAAACGAAAAAATCGTCGATGCACAAGCCGCCGCAAACCTTGGTCCTTGGAAAAGGCCGGGCCCTGCTTATGAGTTCAGCATCACGAATCGCCCCTGAAGCCCCAGCTAAGGTAGTGTGACTAGCTTGCGCGATTTCAACAGCTTGGCAGTCACCCATTGCTAGCAACCGAAGCCCAACACAGAGCCGAGTATCAGCAGGGCAGGGCGGACAGGACTTAAGGTGGGCGACTTTGGAGGCGCAGAGCGTCTTGCACAAGACATTCCTCAAGGCACGGGCCTCGGTGACCTGAAAGCGGTTGTAAAAATCAACGATGTCAGAGGAGTACCCATACAAAATGCTGTTCGGCTGCAAGACCAAATCGCACAGGACTCCCTGACCAGTCAAGTGATTGACCCACTTAGAGAGAAGTTGATCACCAACATTGCTTGGTCGAGCATCAACGATGAGCCTATCAAAGTTCGCATCCTTAAACACTGTGAAAAGTCCGACGCGCTCTGACTGTCTCGGAAGGCCCGCGCTCCCTTCTGGCATCAACAGAAGTCGATCAGTCGCATCGAACCGCTCAAGGAGTTTGACCAACTCACTCTCAGAGGTTCTAACTTCAACGCGGGGAGTAGGAATGTTACTCTTGAGCTTCAAAGCAAAAGGGTTTTGCATAACTTGGCGGTGCACCCCAACAAGAGTGGGGTCCGCGTTAAATGATGGAGCAGCAGACACCTTCAAACGAGTCGCAATGACTGGCCTAGCTGTTTCAACAGGAGAAGACATCTGGCCCACAGCTCTGCTGAGGGGGTCTCGGATTCTGCGTGAAATCCTCCCATCGCTGCTTGGGATTGGTTTGAAATCTCTGTACTTCTGGAAAAACCGATCGAATTCATGAGAAAGGGCCTCAAGGCGCTTAATAGCGCAAGCGGAGCTAGTGAAACGATCTTGGGCCCTTCCAAGTTCGTCGACACATTCAACCTTAACACCGTGCCAAACCTGGAGCTGTTCTCGTAGTCGGCTGAGGTGCTCCTGTTGTAACTCTGTGCTTTCGCGAAGGATCCACGAGGGATCGCAGACGGAGCCAGGACAGCCTAGATGCAGCCAGTTCAGCGTTAGCACAATCAGGTTCTCACCCCTCTGAGACCAGTCAGATCGAGTTCGCGATCTGAACGCACCAGGCCAGGGCACAGGCATAGGCCAAATAGTCGGGGGCCCCTTGCTTTTGCGGGGCGGTTCGCCAAGGAGATGTTTTTGTTTGCAGATACTGGCAGCGTCTCTCAGGAACCCCGAGAGTCTGGAGCAACGAGTATGAGCCAGGCTATACATGACCGGAATCAGCTGGGAGAAACTCATCAAAAACTCGCTGTCAGAACCCGTCCACCTCTTCGCCCAAGCGGCTTGGGATTTGTCTTGACCCTCACCAGGGAATCCCAACGTGCTGTCGAAACCTCTCGCAAGGAGTGGCACCGACCTGCTCCCCAAAGCCGAGCGGATCACTTCGGGTCTGCTTTCGGCTTCGCTTTTGGATTTGGCCGGCGTCTGCTTTCGGTGTTCTCCGCCGAGGGTGCATCGATGGCGTCGAGCCCAGGGGGAGGCCCTCCGGGTCGCCTTCGACGGAGTGTGGTTGCCCGATGCTGCTCGAAGGTCATGCGATCTCTCAGGTGATGGAGGATCACTTCGGCCCACGCATCGGCACAAGGAGCAGGCCATATGGCTGTGCCTGCCTCCGGTTGCTTCGCTGATATTGCGGGAGGCGGGTCCTCCATCAGCAGCTCGGCAGCAAACGACATCTGGCCAGCATCCATAGATAGCTGCTCCGCAAAAAGGAGGCCGAGACCTGTTCTTGCCCGAGCTTCTTCGACGCGTCCACCACTGAGCGCTTGGCCTATGCCAGCTAAGATCCAAGCCCAGTACTGCGTAGGACGGTGCGTGGAGAGCCACGCTCGGTGTTCCACGTACGCCCTGTACGGTACTTCTGCTGAGCCAGAACCCGATGAAGCATCCGGCGTGCGTATGATTTCGCGAACCCGCCTGTTGATAGCTGACTCGATGTGGTTCACGAAGTACATCGGTTGATCTTGCAAAGCGGATCTCAGCGCCAAACGCACTGCAGCATTTCGCCGGGACACCTGTGGAGTTGAGCTGCTCGTGGACGTATCGGGTGACCCTAAGGTCGATAGCATTGCCTCCAAGCCAGTCTTTGGCTTTGGCTTCATGTCCTCCAAAGCTGCCGCAAGTTTCGTGAGAGCAGCTGCTAGCTCTGAGCTTCCATTGGCAGGTTCCGCCACTTCGTCGGCCTCTGTCTCCGCCCGGTCGACCAGTTCCACTGGAGGGGCCTTTGCATACGAAGTCGCAGGGTCTCGCATTTGTGTTCTGGAATCCCTCAACACTTCCATGATCATCCTGGCTGATTCGGGGTCGACACCTGAAGCTTCCAAAGCACCAACTGAAGTACCAAAATGGTTTGGCTGAACCTCTGCGGCCGGTACGCCAGGCTGCACCGACCTTGCTGTTGGTTCGGCACCTTGCGCTGACCTGGTAGGAACTGTCGAACTGCCCGCCGCTTTTGCGCCTCGACGAGGTTTGACCGCGCCCAAAGGCACAGCGATCCGCTTTGACTTGCGCCTGGCTGCCAAGGCCGCTTCGGGGCACACGGCATTCACAGACCCAACCAAAGGGTTCACTTGAAGTCCGGCAGAGGTTGCGAAGACAAAGCCCACCTGCGTTTCCTCCACGTCTTCGGCTCCCAAAATCGATTGGTAGACTGCCTCCGTGAAGACCGCTACGTCGCATTCCAGCAAGTAAGGCTCGGCTGTGTCGCCATCGAGAGCCGACACAGCCTCCACTGTAACCTTGGCACGCAAAACCAAAGGTCCTCGATCCGACCCGCGGCGGGCTCCAAGGGCTCCCAGTGGGAGCGCAGCAAGGACGAGCCCATCCTCCAACCCCTCCAGCTTGAAGTCCGGAGTAACAAAGACAACCTCGGCAGCCTGGTTCTGCATCAGGAGGGTATGGATGGGGGCGAGGCCCTCCGCAGCATCTCTCGTAAAGTATGCCACCGGATCGCCGTCGAGTTCCTCTACTCCTTCGTGTCCAGGTTCCTCCGCTGTTGAAAAATCCTCCGACATTTTGCCAGCTGACAATGCCAGTGAGTTGGACTGCGATCAACAAGCTGATGAAACAGAGGTTGCAAACGACTGCCAGTCTTACAGAAGCAACGTGACCCGGACGTTCCCCTGTCATGCACTGGGCCCACAGCCGAGATAAGATCAGTCACCTGCCTCGGGCAAGAATAGAGGTCTTCGTCGTTGGGGCCCAGCACGAGGCCGGGGCCGTGGGAGGTGAACAGCTGGCTGTTCCGCACCCGGCGCTCGAAGCACAGCGTCTTGTAGGAGCAAATCGGCCAAGATTTGAGCACACCTCCCGATGAACGAGCGGAACTGTTGAGAGGCAAGACACGCCCCTAGGAAAATCCCAATGATGAGACCACCCAAGAAGCAGAGCAAGCACGCGAGAAGAAGGTCGGAGCTGCGGCAGCCACCGAAATGGCGGAACAGCTCGGACACTACAAATATCCCTTGCTGCCACATCAGGCTTGAGCAGCCACCCGATCGCATGAATTCATACCTGACATGATGCTCGCTTTGCTTGCGACCTATGGGAAAGGGCAGTCTGGCTGATGCTCGTGATGCTCTGGCCTGTGTCAAGGCTCAGCCCGGCTGATGCTCATGATGCTCGCTTTGGTTGCGTCCTACGCGAAAGGGCAGTCTGGCTGATGCTCGTGATGCTCGATTTGCTTGCGGCCTGTGTCAAGGCTCAGCCCGGCTGATGCTCATGATGCTCGCTTTGCTTGCGACCTATGGGAAAGGGCAGTCTGGCTGATGCTCGTGCTCGATTTGCTTGCGGCCTGTGTCAAGGCTCAGCCCGGCTGATGCTCATGATGCTCGCTTTGCGTGCGACCTATGGGAAAGGGCAGTCTGGCTGATGCTCGTGATGCTCGATTTGCGTGCGGCCTGTGTCAAGGCTCAGCCCGGCTGATGCTCATGATGCTCGCTTTGCTTGCGTCCTATGGGAAAGGGCAGTCTGGCTGATGCTCGTGATGCTCGATTTGCTTGCGGCCTGTGTCAAGGCTCAGCCCGGCTGATGCTCATGATGCTCGCTTTGCTTGCGGCCTGTGTCAAGGCTCAGCCCGGCTGATGCTCATGATGCTCGCTTTGCTTGCGACCTATGGGAAAGGGCAGTCTGGCTGATGCTCGTGATGCTCGATTTGCTTGTGGCCTGTGTCAAGGCTCAGCCCGGCTGATGCTCATGATGCTCGCCTTGGTTGCGTCCTACGCGAAAGGGCAGTCTGGCTGATGCTCGTGATGCTCGATTTGCTTGCGGCCTGTGTCAAGGCTCAGCCCGGCTGATGCTCATGATGCTCGCTTTGCTTGCGACCTATGGGAAAGGGCAGTCTGGCTGATGCTCGTGCTCGATTTGCTTGCGGCCTGTGTTAAGGCTTAGCCCGGCTGATGCTCATGATGCTCGCTTTGCGTGCGACCTATGGGAAAGGGCAGTCTGGCTGATGCTCGTGATGCTCGATTTGCGTGCGGCCTGTGTCAAGGCTCAGCCCGGCTGATGCTCATGATGCTCGCTTTGCTTGCGTCCTATGGGAAAGGGCAGTCTGGCTGATGCTCGTGATGCTCGATTTGCTTGCGTCCTATGGGAAAGGGCAGTCTGGCTGATGCTCGTGATTCTCTATTTGCTTGCGGCCTGTGTCAAGGCTCAGCCCGGCTGATGCTCATGATGCTCGCTTTGCTTGCATTTTATGGGAAAGGGGCAGTCTGGCTGATGCTCATGATGCTCGATTTGGCGGCCTGTGTCAAGGCTCAGCCCGGCTGATGCTCATGATGCTCGCTTTGCTTGCGTCCTATGGGAAAGGGCAGTCTGGCTGATGCTCGTGATGCTCGATTTGCTTGCGACCTGTGTCAAGGCTCAGCCCGGCTGATGCTCATGATGCTCGCTTTGCTTGCGTTCTATGGGAAAGGGCAGTCTGGCTGATGCTCGTGATCTCGATTTGCTTGCGGCCTGTGTCAAGGCTCAGCCCGGCGGATGCTCATGATGCTCGCTTTGCTTGCGTCCTATGGGAAAGGGCAGTCTGGCTGATGCTCGTGATGCTCGATTTGCTTGCGGCCTGTCAAGGCTCAGCCCGGCTGATGCTCATGATGCTCGCTTTGCTTGCGTCCTATGGGAAAGGGCAGTCGTGATGCTCGATTTGCTTGCGGCCTGTGTCAAGGCTCAGCCCGGCTGATGCTCATGATGCTCGCTTTGCTTGCGTCCTATGCGAAAGGGCAGTCTGGCTGATGCTCGTGATGCTCGATTTGCTTGCAACCTGTGTCAAGGCTCAGCCCGGCTGATGCTCATGATGCTCGCTTTGCTTGCGTCCTATGGGAAAGGGCAGTCTGGCTGATGCTCGTGATGCTCGATTTGCTTGCGGCCTGTGTCAAGGCTCAGCCCGGCTGATGCGCATGATGCTCGCTTTGCTTGCATCCCATGGGAAAGGGCAGTCTGGCTGATGCTCGTGATGCTCGATTTGCTTGCGGCCTGTGTCAAGGCTCAGCCCGGCTGATGCTCATGATGCTCGCTTTGCTTGCGTCCTATGGGAAAGGGCAGTCTGGCTGATGCTCGTGATGCTCGATTTGCTTGCAACCTGTGTCAAGGCTCAGCCCGGCTGATGCTCATGATGCTCGCTTTGCTTGCGTCCTATGGGAAAGGGTAGTCTGGCTGATGCTCGTGATGCTCGATTAGCTTGCGGCCTGTGTCAAGGCTCAGCCCGGCTGATGCTCATGATGCTCGCTTTGCTTGTGTCCTATGGGTCAGGGCAGTCTGGCTGATGCTCGTGATGCTCGATTTGCTTGCGGCCTGTGTCAAGGCTCAGCCCGGCTGATGCTCATGATGCTCGCTTTGCTTGCGTCCTATGGGAAAGGGCAGTCTGGCTGATGCTCGTGATGCTCGATTTGCTTGCGGCCTGTGTCAAGGCTCAGCCCGGCTGATGCTCATGATGCTTGCGTCCTATGGGAAAGGGCAGTCTGGCTGATGCTCGTGATGCTCGATTTGCTTGCAACCTGTGTCAAGGCTCAGCCCGGCTGATGCTCATGATGCTCGCTTTGCTTGTGTCCCATGGGAAAGGGCAGTCTGGCTGCTCGTGATGCTCGATTCGCTTGCGGCCTGTGTCAAGGCTCAGCCCGGCTGATGCTCATGATGCTCGCTTTGCTTGCATCCTATGGGAAAGGGCAGTCTGGCTGATGCTCGTGATGCTCGATTTGCTTGCGGCCTGTGTCAAGGCTCAGTCCGGCGGATGCTCATGATGCTCGCTTTGCTTGCGTCCTATGGGAAAGGGCAGTCTGGCTGATGCTCGTGATGCTCGATTTGCTTGCGGCCTGTGTCAAGGCTCAGCCCGGCGGATGCTCATGATGCTCGCTTTGCTTGCGTCCTATGGGAAAGGGCAGTCTGGCTGATGCTCGTGATGCTCGATTTGCTTGCGGCCTGTGTCAAGGCTCAGCCCGGCTGATGCTCATGATGCTCGCTTTGCTTGCGTCCTATGGGAAAGGGCAGTCTGGCTGATGCTCGTGATGCTCGATTTGCTTGCGGCCTGTGTCAAGGCTCAGCCCGGCGGATGCTCATGATGCTCGCTTTGCTTGCGTCCTATGGGAAAGGGCAGTCTGGCTGATGCTCGTGATGCTCGATTTGCTTGCGGCCTGTGTCAAGGCTCAGCCCGGCTGATGCTCATGATGCTCGCTTTGCTTGCGTCCTATGGGAAAGGGCAGTCTGGCTGATGCTCGTGATGCTCGATTTGCTTGCGGCCTGTGTCAAGGCTCAGCCCGGCGGATGCTCATGATGCTCGCTTTGCTTGCGTCCTATGGGAAAGGGCAGTCTGGCTGATGCTCGTGATGCTCGATTTGCTTGCGGCCTGTGTCAAGGCTCAGCCCGGCGGATGCTCATGATGCTCGCTTTGCTTGCGTCCTATGGGAAAGGGCAGTCTGGCTGATGCTCGTGATGCTCGATTTGCTTGCGGCCTGTGTCAAGGCTCAGCCCGGCGGATGCTCATGATGCTCGCTTTGCTTGCGTCCTATGGGAAAGGGCAGTCTGGCTGATGCTCGTGATGCTCGATTTGCTTGCGGCCTGTGTCAAGGCTCAGCCCGGCTGATGCTCATGATGCTCGCTTTGCTTGCGTCCTATGGGAAAGGGCAGTCTGGCTGATGCTCGTGATGCTCGATTTGCTTGCAACCTGTGTCAAGGCTCAGCCCGGCTGATGCTCATGATGCTCGCTTTGCTTGCGTCCTATGGGAAAGGGCAGTCTGGCTGATGCTCGTGATGCTCGATTTGCTTGCGGCCTGTGTCAAGGCTCAGCCCGGCTGATGCTCATGATGCTCGCTTTGCTTGCGTCCTATGGGAAAGGGCAATCTGGCTGATGCTCGTGATGCTCGATTTGCTTGCGGCCTGTGTCAAGGCTCAGCCCGGCTGATGCTCATGATGCTCGCTTTGCTTGCGTCCTATGGGAAAGGGCAGTCTGGCTGATGCTCGTGATGCTCGATTTGCTTGCGGCCTGTGTCAAGGCTCAGCCCGGCGGATGCTCATGATGCTCGCTTTGCTGGCGTCCTATGGGAAAGGGCAGTCTGGCTGATGCTCGTGATGCTCGATTTGCTTGCGGCCTGTGTCAAGGCTCGCTTTGCTTGCGTCCTATGGGAAAGGGCAGTCTGGCTGATGCCCTCTTGACGGAAGCCATACGTGCCATACACTCAGGCGAGGCTACGGGTGACGGCCAAGCGCTTTTGTTCACAGCAAAGTCTCCTTCTCTCCCACTCTACCTTCCTCTGCTTCACTCCCTGAATTTCAGCAGGACTCCCTCCCTTCCCTCAACCCTCTGCCTTTGGAGAGGAAAAACAACACGTAAACGCAACTCCGTGCAGCCCAGCAGCCCTTGGCCCCGGCATTTGGGGGACTGCGACTCCGTGCCTTGGGTGCCTCCTCATCACCTCCGGGCACCAGGTGGGCTGTATTTGCGCCAAGTAGTTTTTTTTTTTTTTTTTTTTTTTTTTTTTTCGGACCTCTCTTTCAGCAGTTTAGGAATGTCTTGGGGGGTCGACAGCGTCTGCGGGGTCTACAGGGAGATGTGGTCTGCAAAGGGTTTGCAGTTGCTGCGAGACTCAGGCCAGATGTAGAACAGACAAGGCGCCTGTTTTACTTCGTGATTGCAAAGTGAAACAGATGCATGTTCAGGAACTTACAGTTTACATCGAAGAGAAATTCCCTCTCTCGGGCTTGATTTAAAGAACCGCGTGCTGTGCCCGGTGCCTGGCGGCTTCTCCTTGGACTCGACTGGATCGGATCCACCCTGGGGATCTGCAATGTTTCTTTTTTTCTTTGTGTGTGTGTGTGTGTGTGTCAATCACGTGTTTCTTGTGGCAAGGCATCTGCCCCCAAGACTCAAAGACAAGAAATGCGAACAGAATCGTCCTCAAGGTACAATCGGAAACAGCCTGAGGTCCCGAGAAGTAAATCCCAAGCGGCATCCCAACATTCGCTCATGTGATCGTTTTTGTTGAGCTGAGACACCAAGACTGAGCCCCAACCGTAGAAGGTTGTCTCTTGCCGAGGGCCGGCTCGCATGGAAGATAATTTCCTTCGCGCATCTTGGGGCACAACGCTATGGAACATAGCACAAGAGCTGTTGGACAACAGCTATTCCCTACGCTGCACCCCTTCCCTCCAGACTCTGAGCAAAGCTTCGAAACGGGCGAGGCCAAACACACCTTGAGGGACTCCAGCCGCCTCATGATCTCCTTGCCAGGTTTGAAAATGTTTGAAATGTCTGGGTCCCTTGTTTCCGCAAGCTCGGAGCAGTCTCTTGCAGCAAATGTTCGCTCAGATCTTCCATACGGAGCACAAGCTGAAGTATCAGAACCACCCAAAAGACTGGCACAAATTTGCCCCTTGTCATGAAAGTACGGCTAAGCTTGAAACGATGCCTTACTCGCTAGCCCCCACCGAATGCCTGCGCGCAGCCGATCAAGCTCTTCCGTGCCATGCGAACCTGAAGAAGCAAAGCTGGGACGTGAAATAAGACTTCAGGCAGACACAGACATCTGCGCACATCTGCGCCTGGAACCTGGCTTTTAAGTTCAGACTGCGAGAAGCATGGTGGACAGTTTGATCAACAACCCCCTGGGCATAAGAAGACAGAGGAAGACGTGAACAAACCCATGCATCAGCCTCAGGGTCGGGGCTTCCAAAGACCAAAAAATCGCAACTACCCTGCTTCTTGTTCCGGATTTTCGAGCACCTTGTGAAGTCTCGCTTTTTGGTATGGACCATCCTCAAGAAATATCAAGAGATCCTTTCATGTGCTTGGATTCCTCGAAGCTCTGTTTGGGCAAGGGGCCGAGTCCCGGTCTCCCCATGCAGGCTTAAGGGCGTCCAGGTCGATGTCGTCGAGCTTTTGCATGTCATTCTGGACCTGCTTGGAAGGATACGGGGAACGGTGCGGACTCAAGACAACGCTCGGGGGATGTTGAGGAGACTTAGACTCTCAAAACTGCAAATCAAAGGTTCGAGGCGCGCCAGGCCCCGCCAGGCCCTGACACCCCTTTTGCCGCAACAACGGTGAACATTAGCCCTCTGGTCCAAACACTGTTCTCTTCCCGGCTAGCCTTCGTGAGAGCCGCGAGAACTTCTCCGTTGGTTTCCTGGACTTCCAGTGAGCCCCGAAGGGCTGCTACGAGTACCAGAGAATCAAACATCGTTTGGGATGTCATTCCACCTACAGCATGAACTGGCTGCGTCGCGGGCCCCGAAGCAAGATTCAAGACAATCGACACGTTGCCATGACAAGCTTTCAAGGCTTCGGAGTTGATCTGGTCTCCTTCCCCGCTTCCCAACCCTCCCCCTTCCCCCCAGGCAACTCGCCTGCCATTGGTATGGAAAATTGGCCCTTGGGACCCTCTAGGACCCTGCGACACCCTTGCAATCCCCCGGTATCCTCTTTGCGGCCATTTGACCTACCCAAGCATGAGGCAACAAGCACAACGAGCGAAATCAACAAGTCAGACAAGCGCCCCTTGTTGCACAGCATCCTTTGGGCGGGCGGGAGAGCCCTGGCTTTGCTATTTCTTGACTTCATGGCTGCTTTCCGTAGCTGCGGCCCGTCCGAACTCCGAGGGTTTGCCGCCGACATGCACCGCGCGCAAGCATTTTACAACTAGGATTCAGGATCGCTGATGGATGTGGGAATGCATGAATTGAGCGCGATGCTCTTCCTATTGGTTCGCTCATTCTTTCCGGCCAAGCTTCGATGGTCTTCTCTGCAGGGAAGTCCCCCGACGTGACCCAGGGCTCACATCTCCCGAGCAGGTCGTTCACCTAATTGTTCACATGTCCGGAGAATGCTGTGCAGTAGCCACCACTGCATCGACAGGGCCGTTCTGGAGCCCTGCCACTCAGGAGGCCTATGCATCCCATGCATTTCACACATAACCCAGCCATTGTGCGTGCCGCAAGCTCTCCAGCATGGCCGCACCGCAGGACTTCACAGCCGGGTGCTCCGTTACCATGAGCGCCTTGGTCTGCACTTAAGACACAGGGAGCCTTAGACTCCGCACGTCGACGCTCTGCCCGGCTATGATGCTGTGTGTGTGCGCGCGTGCGCGCAGCGTTCGTTTCTTGCAACGTGAACTCGGCCCTTCGCAACAGAGCCTACCGCCTACTCTCTTGAACGCCCAGATTCCAAGTCCAGGGTGCCATCGTCCTGCACCCACCACCCTACATGGGATAAGCTTACACTGGACCAATTCGAGAAGGGACCTTCTGGATTGTGCTACACTCCACGGGTTTAGACGGGGACCCTTCAGTTTGAGGGCTTGTCTCGTGGAATCCTGGAAAGGTTTGAGCTTAAAGGGGCGGAACATGGCGGAACTCTCCCAGTCAGTCCTCCAAGGGTGTTGCATTGAAGGTCTTCGAGGTCCCATTCATGGGCGTGGTGTAGCCATGGGTCCGGGTCCCCGACTTAAAGAGGTAGTTCCCTTTTTTGCATCCGGGCTATGATGTCCTGGCCGGAGAGGTAGTTCCCTAAAGACTAAACGTGCCGAAGCCCTGAAGCCCTTACGACTTTTGGGCATCGGAGCTGTCTGGAGCTCAGGTCAAACCCTGGACTTTTCCGCAACAGAGCTTTGCCCTGAATCGTAGACTCGTAGACATTGCATGATTCGCTGTACTACCTCTCTCTGACATGGCTGAAAGAACCACCAAACAACAGTGTAAACCGCATCTGTGGGACTTGCAAGTCCTATCACAATTCTTTCGGCTTTTCCTGATCATCAACCGAACCTGGAACATGTTTTCTTCTGCATACATGCTAAAGCTTGAGCAGCAAGCCGTCAGCCCGGCGGCAAGATGTGGCAGAACATCCCCTATTCTCTCGGCAACAGTACAACAGATTGATAGCACTTCACTTGATTAGCCGCCATCTTGATGGTCAGCAAGCCGTGTGGGCAACAGGCCGAACAGTTGCAATCCACGTTAGTCAAACTAGGCTTTCCAGCAGCAGCTGCAAAGCCCAAGTAGTGCTGAAAGCTTGCGCCATCTGTTTTTCCCATCTTCTCTGGAGTCTTTGTTCTTTGACGGGCAGCAAGCCGATTTCAACCCATCTACGTGGAAGTGAGACCATGAAAATCATGTGGAACATACTGAAAATTGGCTACGCGCCGAAACAACGAGGAGTGCAGGGAAAGGGGCACTTGCCAGTAAGACCAAGCAAGTTGTTCCGCCTGATCGGAGTGTACTATGCGCGCTCGATGACTCAGAGTTTGGAATCTTGCACTTGAAGCTGCTGGAGCACTAGGTCAGGATGGACACAAGACACAGCATTGGGCTGTCGAGCTTCAGCCACTCCAGCTACTCGGGCTGGTGCAACCTGGTGCAACTTACCCAAGCTTGCCATCTTGCCGCGGTGGCTTCACACCGTCTGCTTGCCTAAGCGGGCATCAAGGCTGCAAATTGCAGATTTGCCAGCCTCAATATAGCTGATCCCTGTCGTTTAGTGTGCATGGAACGGTTCTGCCCTACGCCAAGGCCAAGGCGTTTGAACAAAAAGGGACTTTCAATAAGCACATAGGAGATTACCATCCTGCAGCTGCTACCCTTACAACCTAACGAGCTATTTCACTTGTTAGCGACTTGGTCGAGAAAAGGTTGGGCTGTGAGGGCTTGTGGTTTAAATAGGGTGGGCTTTCGCGCTTGCACTGACGATGTCCAATACTACATTTTCGGATACGATGCTAGACTGCAGAGCAGTTGCATGAGGTTCTTGACCAACACGCCTGCATCAAGTACACTGGCATGCAGCATGCAGCAAACTCAGATACATGAATCCAGCAAAACCGCGCCTTTCGTGTTTTTCACCTCCAGCGCACTCATGAGTACAAAGGGCACAACATTGTCCCATTTCTCCGGTACCTGGGCGGGCGAATACACCAAGCTGATCAACCATCGCGCGAAAGGCGTGCGGACCTAAAGTTTGAGTCATGCCGAGCTGGGCGCGTCCATCTTGCAAATTCGGAATACCTGTGCTTGCAAGCGTGCGAAGGTGCATCGTCACAGCCTCAAATTCAGACACACCGTGGACAACCTGAGCCATGGGCCGTCATGTAGGTCTCCTCGGCTGAGCAAGGAACCCACCACCAACGACGTGCCTTTTTTTCATTGCCCCTATGGGCCCCTATGTATTGATTTGGCTTCACTCAGCTGGTGCCCCTTCGACTCGCAGATTATCTATCTTCGGTGGCATGAGATTTTTGAGGGCCGTGGGTTTTTTCTGTACATCTTTACAGCCTCCTGAAGCACCGGGTCCGCACTGAGACCTGAACATCCCTGAGCCTTTACAGCTTTACAGCCCCTCAGGCCGGAAGCAAAGCAAACCTTGACAACTATGACACTTTTGTCTTGAAGGCAAGGTCGAATCCTCCAGTCTGCTCAGAACTAGTGTCTTCGGCATGCCAGCACGAGCTGCACCAGCCGTCCTCGCAGGAGTATCGCACCTAAGCTGAGCAGCTTCTGCTTTTGGCCCGAGCTTTTCATGGGGTTCGGCTACGCTTGATATCCTAAAGCCTGCCAATAACAAAACCCTACCAAGGACTAGGCTTCTAAACTCACACGAACCTGCCAAGGTGGTCTGGGATTTGCGAAGGGCATGAATCGTGAATTTCCCGGCTGGCTGGGGGCCCTTCAGCGAAAATTTCCCTGCCGATTATGAAGTGTGCCGTCTCAGCTTCCAGGTTCCTCTCTAGGCTAACACCAGGCCAGCGACGTTTGCTCCCAAGGTCTCCTCACAGGCCTGGGAGGCGGGAAAGAAAGGAGGCTGAGGGGGGGGGGGGAGAATGTACCCTAGGCCCTAAGCCGCTATTTCAAGCTTCGGAGCTCTTGTCCCTATTTGCAACTGCAGACCCGAAAACCCTAACACCGAAACTCTGTAATCCTAGGCTTCATCCACCTGGGACAACAAGCGCTCTGAAGGAACTTCAGCAATTTCAACAAAGTTAGTGGATCATGGTTGCCGGGCAGCTGCGAAACTAGGCCTGGACCCCCCATCGGGTTCTGCAGCAGCCCCTTGTCGGTCGTACTTGCTATCTTGCGGAGACGCTACGCCGCTACTGTAAAGCCCATAATTTGTTGGTGCTTCGGCATCTGCCAACGACATGCCAACGAGTACACAACCCCGTCCGGCTTGAGGTGCAGTCCAGGCGGCCCGTAGAAGCGCATTGCGCTTGTACGTGGCCATCTTCAAAGATGGCTTCCACACGATCTTGACCTGAGGTCTTTATTTTTCCATTCCCAGAATTCCACCAGAAGTTCCAGGTTTCAGATCCTGCGTGTCAGGTGTGCGCCCCTAGCGGGCTAGACTGATGCTCGAATCGAATCTGAAATATGAACAGGTACCCACACGTGCGCAAACTGCACTCTTCTCTTCTCACCAATCTCTCACAGAGACGCGTGGAGACCGTAACCCGCATTTTTGACAAATGATGGCGTTCTTGTGCCCAATCCCACAACGGGACCTCCTGAGTTGCTTACAGGCTCATGGAGTGCAGGAGGTGCTGCCGTGTCGGTTCATGATTGTGATATATTGTAATCGTGCCAATGCCCCTGAAACCGCCTGGAGGCCTGGAACGAGAAGCGATAACACCACACCTTTCACACGGCCAATATCGGAATGCTGGCAGACATCAGCACCAAGAAACCATTTGGGGAGCTTTTTGCCTTGCCGTGCTGCCACTTGCCTGAACCTCAACTACAAAACGATGGCCCAACAGCCCATCACTATTGACAACCTAACCTCGTTTCAGAAGTTTGCCTTCAAGGCGCAACTTCAATGCAATGCACGCGCCCGCTGAATTTCTGCCACAGGCCGATCATGATGCAGCGCCGCGCTGGGTGCAAGACGATCTGTATGTCTACCTCGCCAGGTTCGTAAGCCTCACAGTTGGCAGCTGAGCGGATGAGTTCAGGTAGATCTTGCGGGACATAGATCATCAGCTGTCGGGCCTGCCCTGTCAATCGAACCTGGTAGGGTGCTCTCACGCCCATTGGCCAATCTGCTTCCCGATAATCCCATTGTGTGACTTGTCCTTTCTGCCAGCCGTCACCTGTGAAGCACTCCACCGTGTCCCCAACATTGAAACGAAAACCGCTGCTGCTCGCTGTTTCAACAGGTGCTTCTGGCAGGACGACTGGGACTCTTGGCTGGAGGGCGTCGTGGTAGAACTCGTGCAACACAAGCCCAGTGGACAAATCCCAGACTACGACGGGTGGTGGATGCAAGCCTCTTGGAGCCACGCCGCAGCCACAAACCACGTCAAACTTCAGTGAAACAGCAAGAGCACCCAAATCGCGGTCAGCCATAAACTGGCCAGCGAGTCCAGTTGCCAAGGGTGGCCGCAAAAGCTGCGACCGCACGTTGCCGGTTGCAGCATCCAGCAAGCAAATGCTAAGGCCATTCCTCTCCCAGTGATGGTAGAGGAGGAGATGGTCTTCAACAGGAAGCTCATTTGGCTGCTCCAGTTGCGCGATCGGATGCGAGCTCGGCCACATCTTCGCAAAGCTCACAGGTGCCTCGAGGGGTGCCTCGCACGGAGCTGCCTTGAAGGATGCGCCGGGTGCGTCTCCCGTGGCCTTTGGGAGGCGCACGGCACCTGCGATTTTCGTGCCCGTCAGCGTGTTGACATGGAACAGGAAATGGTCTCTCGTGGAGCTCACAGCTTGGCGCCCGGAGGAATCATCTCCCAGCAGTTCTGCCAAGACATCACGCAACTTCGTGATGTCAATCTTCTGATACGTGCCCGCTTCCATGTCAAGAACATCTGCAAAAAGGCGCTCGTCGTGCCACCAGTTGCCACGGCAAAGCAGGAAAAGGTGCTCCCCACAGTGCAGAATGTTCTGATAGGTGCGGCCAATGACCTGCATCTTTTTGGACCACGTGCTTCCTTGCTCAGCGGCTGCAGGAAAGAATGCGATTTCTCGGCCTGCATACCCCACAAGCCCTGCCACCCCGCTGCGGAGTCTGGAATATGGCCACTGCCGAGACGTCTTCTCCTGAGCCTCAGCTTGACCATGTGTAGCTCCATCTGGAAGCCACAGGGTCACAATCCTCTTGTCAGCTGCGGCCAAGATCAGAGAGCTTCCATCACCAAGGAATGTGACGAAGCCCTCGCCAACTTCAGCTGGCAGCGCTACCTCGCAGTAGTGGGCTTGCCGCCTCCAGAGCAATTGCTTCGAAAATCCAAGCACCGATGCCTCGTGCCATCTCCGGGCGGTGGCAGCGCAGCTTGGGAGGCTACTCAAGGTAAGCCATGAAAGGATCAAGCCGATGTTTTCATCCGTGAGATCCTGGGCCGGATCCATGGCTCCACGCAGCTTACTTCGACATTAAACTTCGACCCTTGCGAAACCCAAACTGCGCATCACAATGTGCCCCTGAGTTATCGCACAGGAAACCCTGGGTGACCAAGTTTTCGATGGGCCTACTCTGCCGTACAGCCTTGCATGCGTCTGGTGCGGTACAGTATCAGTGGAAAGCCCCCAACCCGTTAGAATATTACAGCACACTCCAAGGCATTGGGCCAACCGCAAACCCCAAACCTCTCGCCCTGCCTGCAACTGGCGCATCTGGGATGGGGGTTATGCAATCCTAGATGGGATTCGATATAGAAGCGCAAGTATCCTCCAGGTAAGTTGGCAGGCACACACCAAACTCTGGCCTGCTGGCTGTAAATGCAGCGGGCCATACCCAGGGTTCGATCGCATTCACTGCTCTTCCTGTCCCTCTCAGAAGCTGAGCCCACAGCAGGTCCTTTCAGGTAGTTGCGAACCAACTTCAGGGTCACAGTGTCACCTGCCAGACTGACAGCGACGCTTCAGAAGATGATTGCGACTCTCCGAGTTGTTGGACGTTGGGGACCAAGGACTGCTTCAACGGCAAACGCGCAGGTGGCGGCAGCTGTGCCTTCGGACTCCTTGACTAGCTTGCTGACGGTCTTCAAATCTTTGCCTCGCCCCCCCAAGCTGGCAGTACTATGTGAATGAAAACTATGGCCAGTTCCAGTAGAGCACGCGGTGAAGGACCTATACTTCCATGATCGCTCGCTGGCCTATGCGGTGTCAAACAATAAGATGCGTATACTGTCGTGTGACAGTGCGGACCGTTTCTATGCAGCAAGGCTCTGCTGCTTGGATGATGGTACACAGGCTCTTCAGATGACACTGCAAAACCGGCAATAAGCTAGATAGCCGTACAATTCACTTAGGCGGACATAGCTTGGGGGCCTTGTGTATCTGTAGTGGAATCTTCACTTGTGTGAGGACGGCCTTCGCACAAGGTGCCGTTGACAGCTACCACTTCATCTCCCTCCAGCACAAACATGCCCTCGGCCTCAGATCGGGCAGCAGGCTCGCTTGACTTGTCTCTCCCCATCAAGGACCAGCAGTGATTAGTCAGGTAGTGAAGGGATGGTTTGGCGTAGGGCGGCTTCGTCAACAATCAACTTTGAAGCTGCAGATCCACATGTATGGATGTCTGTGTTGGGGAATCTTTGTTAGATCGTGCACCGTTCAAGCTTCCGCAAGCACCCAAAACATCCGAGCTGCATCGTTCAGCAACACCTCCGTGTTCCAAAGGTCCTGAGCTTTGTAGTCAACCTAGACTTATGATCAACCTTCTGTTTGTGACCCGTTCGGAAAAAACTCTGACACTCACCCTTCGGGCCCAGGGTTTGGGATGTCGGGGAGGGGTGGGCCCTGCAACCTGAATGCTTGCCGATTACCAGCCAAGGCTCTGTGTTGCCACCTCAGGGTTGCGCCATGTACTATGCCGTGCCAAAATCACCCGATTTGATGTGCTTTCTCCACTTTCTGCTAGGAGATCGTCGGAACCCCGTGCGTCGTCAACAAAAGCCTTTTCTTGTGCTTTTCAAATTCCCCGCCTTTCTTGATGCCGGCGATGCCAACGCCTGGGCGGTTGGGGAAGTCCTTGGGCGTGACGCCCAAAGGCTTTGGGATGGTGACGTCGAAGATGGCCCTGCCGCCTTCAATGCGCTTCCTGAGATGTGGCGCCCTCCGCACAGAGTGGCAGCAACATGGGCAATGGCAAAGCAGTCCCCTCAAAGGATTCAGTCCGTTTAAGCAACAGGTGGTTGCCACCATCACCCTAATCTGCTGGGGCACACCCGCTTGTTCCACTGCGCCACCGTGGCGTGGCGAGCGACGGCCGAACGGCCAAAGCAGGCGCTCTTTCTTCGCGCCCGTGCCACGTACACGAGGCTCCCCAGCGAGCCGAGCCCCAGTGCAAGCGGCGCCGCATGCACCGGGTGCACTGTGGGCATGGTTGGTGCCCTCGATGGGCGCCGAAGTGCACCTCGAAAACACAAGTGCTTGACTAGTGCTTCTTGCACTCGCTTGGGATCTCTCTTACACCCAGAGTTCTTAAACACGAGAGATTGCCCTCTCAGACTGAGATCAGCGCTGCATCTATATCTAGGTTGGGCGTTTGGCTGGACCTTGCTTGACAGCCATGGAGATGGCGTGAAGGTCTGGGTCCAAGCGAATGCTGCCAGAACAGCCCCGAGGAAAGCCTTGGCTGCTAGCATTCAGGGATTAGCCTGTCTAAGAAGCGGCAGGAGCTCCGCGATGATCACGTTACTCTAGTACTGCTCTGAACAATGCAGGCAACGCATGATACAGTAGCCAAGGTGCAGCCACGACCACGGGCATGTGTGCCGCCATACGGGCTAAATAGCGCATCTACAGCATGGCTCGAGCACAAAGACTCCTCCCGGCGTGTGGACTCGCATGTTGTACCGAGTGATGCATGACACGTGCACACAGAAACTCAACCTGCTGCATTCCACCGCGGATTGTTTTTGAGCTCCAGGGTGCATGCTTCCTGGCGCTAGTATGGCGCATATCTGATGGCCTCAGCCCAGTGCAACACATTGACTATTCTGCCACTGGGCTGCGCAAGGGCAGCTGAGCCCAGGACGAGACCCTTTGAATGACCTGGGCAGTTCCGCATGCACTCCGCGCGGGATCCCGAGCCGGCATCGTGGATAGGGCTGGGCCAGCATGTCTACTATTTCCAGCGGGGGCGATGACCTCCCTTGCCATCGCCCTGGTTCCAGCTGCCGCTCTTGCCCTTGCTCCTGGAAGTGCCCAATACAGGTTTGCTCAAGTGAAGCCCTCAGCCCCTAAATCCTAAGAAAACATCTTCCATAAATGCGCCAGGCTCCAGCTCGCATCCGCTTTGCCCCAGCTGCCAGAGCCCGTGCCAGCCCCTTTGCCCGCAATGGCCTGAGTCAGTTCTCTGCAACCAACAGAACCTTTCATCTTGAAAATAGCTGAACGGTCTGAACCCCTGCCTAGGTTCCAAATTCAGTGCGAGGCCTGAACCCTAATCGCTAAACTTTGTCTGTTGCATCTGGAATCCGGACGGCAAGGCAACAATTCCACAACTAGTAACTTTACAGCCCCTCAGCACTCTCAAAGGATCCTGCAGCAGCCTTTGCTTCCACACTCGAGATCTCGACACCTTCTGGTCGTTCAATGCTTAAACCCTAAACCCATGGCTCTAGACCCTAATCCCTTTTCAAAAACCCCTTCAGCTGAGCTCAAGGCCGTCCCTTCGGGGCAAACATTTTCGGCTCGCGGTCGCCCAGTTTTGCCTAAGGGCGCAGGGGAGCACTGTCACACTCCCCAACCCATCAAACTCGCAACCCATTTTACAACCTACAGCTTAGGCCTTACGCCATGCCCCCAAAGGGTGGTTGCCCTGAAAGCTACTGATGACGCAACCCCTATACACTAACAAGCATCCTCAAGCGGGGCCGATGTGAGCATAGTCACCCCTGTTGAAGGCGGCTGGGGGGGGGCACGCTGCAGGTACCCCAATTAGTCATCGAAGCAAAGCACATCATGGACAGACACCCGGCAAGTGAATAGCTGCTTGTTTCGGTGAGACCGTACATAGCCACCATTGATTTAATGGGGCAGATGGTTAGACTGAAAAACTACGTACGCTGTCCTGCCTTAGGCAGAAGCTTCATTGTGGCTAGACATATCGTTGCAAGCCGCGTGCGTTGTATCGCTGAGAGTCGCGTTGTCCAAGATTGAACACCAGAATGTTGCAAGGAACGCCGGGTACTGTAAGTACTCAAAGAGAAACTTCAAGCACAGCATCCACGTCCTCTGCGACATCCATGATGATATTCTCTGCTTCGCTCTCGCCGTTGTTGGCCTCTGGGCCCTCGCTGTGTGGGAACCGGCACAGCTCTTCGAGGTCGGGCTCTGCCATCCACAGCCACAAGATGCAGACGATGGCCAAAGCAGCGGGAGTCAGCAGCACGGACGTGAAAACGCCAGACAAGCTGCCAATGAACCAGCCAAGCGCATCCTCCGAACTAACGGAGGAAAGAAAAATGGAAACCACCAGCATGCTAGCACACAAGTGGATGGCCACCACGGGGACAGCAACGAGGCACATGAGACGTCTTGGGAACAGAAGTACGAACCAGGGCACCGTGCCGAAGACGGTCGACACAATTGACAGGAACACGGACCTCACCAGGAGCTCTGAACTGGTGAAGGAGTTGCAGTCCACACCTTGGTCGGGTGCTACAGCTGTAACGTTGAAGAAAAACGCCATAACAGCCCACTTGCTGTAGAGCTCGCTGAAGATCAACAAGCTCTGAAAAGTGCACGGGTACAGCGTTGAGGGTGCCATGACCAAGTTCCAGGAACTGTTGCAAGAGAACAAGCTAAAACCCCTCTCCCAAGTCCTGGCGCGCTTGAAGCGGTGGACAAAGGCAGTGGCCCTGGCATGCGCAACGGTTGGCCCAACTGAATCGTGGAGCTTCTTCAGCTCCCCAAGACTCTTGCCTGTCTGTTTTCGTATGAGACTTGAGCACACGGCCTTAGACACGTGATGCCGGAGAACGAATGACCGATAGCTTAAAATAAGCACGCGCCACAGCTCCTTGCAGTCTGGGCAGAACTTCTGATTTGGGCGATTCTTAGTTTGATTCTCTTCTGCTTCCCGCAGCTCTGTCAAATACTGATTGTAAGTCTTGTCAACTTGCCTCGCGAGCACCAACAGGACGAGTGCCAGCAGCAGCGCTATCCAATGCAGCACTGCTGGCAGCGAGATGGCCCAATGCCATCGGGCAAGGTTTCCCAGGCCCTCTATGGACAAGATCGTGGCAGCTGCTGAACATAGAACCACTTTCTTGATGGTTTCAAGCACAAAGGCAAACAATGACAAGTGGGTGGTTTCGCAAACTGCTCTCTCACCATCCGCCGCCAGAGTCGACACGCCTTCTTGGGACCAGCGGTTTTCCTGCAGATCCCAAAAAGAGCACACCCCGCGGATGCCAGGGGCTTTCGTCACGTTTGTGGGGATGGAAAATTGAAGCGGCGCAGGCAGAGGTCCACTCCATTCCGTGCCATCGGATTTAAACAGGAGGATGCTGACCGGTGTGCTGGCAAGAATTGTGTCATTCGAGGCTTCCTCCAGGACGTCCACAATCTCGGACTGCTGTCCAAAAGCTGCAATGACCAAGGAGGCTCTCCCGCCATCTGCTGCAGCCAGCACTAGCGCCCTGGGCAAGGTCACAACCAGCTCACCTTGTGAGATGCTGACAGAATTGTCGGAATGGTTAGACTCGTTGGAAGTTGAGACTGTTGCGATGGCAGCAGCCACGGAGACGGTGCCATCAGCATCTCTGCGTCTGATCTCCACCACTTCCTCAGATGACGAAGCAGCCAACTCCAAGGCACTCTGCACCAAACTGCCTTGTTTCTTCTCCCATTCGAGTACTGCCACAGCAGCTGTGCTCTCCGTGCTCGTGGACGATGTAGTGGAAAAGCCGATGCCAGAAGTGAATGTGTGTGTACTCGTACTGGACCTCGTGCTGGTGGTAAAAGTTTTAGTGGCGGTGGAGGTGACACTGGAGGCGGTACTAACTGTTCTGAACGTGCTAGAAGCGGTGATGCTGGAAGTGGATTGGGTGGTTGCGGTGGCAGTGGCGCTGGACGTGGTGCTGGAAGTGGTGGTGCTGGATGTGCTGAGTAAAGTGGTGGCGGTGGCGGTGGCGGTCGCGGCCGTGGTGGCGCTGGTGGTGGTTGTGGCATCGGCGATGGCACTGGAGGTTGCACTGGAAGTTTCGGTGGAGGTGGCACTGGACGTGCTGGAGGTCGTCGTGGGAGTGGTGATAGAAGTGACGGTGGCGTTTGAGGTGCTCGAAGTGCTGGAGATGCTGGAAGTGGTGGTGCTCGAAATTTTGGTGCCACTAGAGGTGCTTGAGGTGGTAGTAGGCGTAGTGCTAGAACTTCCGGTGGCGCTGGAGGTGGTCGTGAGCGTAGAAGTGGCGGTGACGCTGGAGGTGCTGGCGGTGCTGGAGGTAGCAGTGGGAGTCGTGCTAGAAGTAGCGGTGGTGCTGGAGGTGGTAGTGAGAGTGGTGCTAGAAGTGGCGGTGGTGCTGGAGGTGGTGGTGGCGCTGGAGGAGGTAGTGAGAGTGGTGCTAGAAGTGGCGGTGGTGCTGGAGGTGGCGGTGGTGCTGGAGGTACTAGAAGTGGCGGTGGTGCTGGTGGTCGTGGTGGCGCTGGAGGAGGTAGTGAGAGTGGTGCTAGAAGTGGCAGTGGTGCTGGTGGTCGTGGTGTGGAGCGGTGCCATGACAAGGAGGTCAGCACCTCCAGCATTGGAGAATCCAGGCCAAGAGCCGTCTGTGTTGCCAGCGATAACAAAGTTGTTCGTGACATCTAGATGGAGGCTAAAGGCACGGTCGATACTGCTGCTGCCATAGAGGGTGGTCCTGGCCCAGACTCCGTCCAGGTCGAGCTCCATCAAGAATAAATCCCACCCTCCAACGTTTGTCTGCCCGTCCAGGTTCCCATCAGTGTAGCCACCCAAAAAGATCCGGTTGTTCACTCGATCAATCTCCATGCAGGTGCCCTCATCGTAGGTGGTACCCCCTCGCTGCGTGGACCACAAGTGAGTTCCAGAACTATCCAGCTTCACAAGCGCAACATCTGCCTGACCTGCGTTAGTGTACCCCGGAAATGAGCCCATCGCAATGCCATACACATAGATGTTGTCACTGGCATCAACCTTCACCACTCTCACATATTCGTTTGCAGACGAGCCCCGTTGATCTGTCCACTGCCAGGTTCCACTGCTACTATACTTAGAGACCGCAAAGTCAACCCCTCCGAGGTGACTTTGGCCACCAATGGCGCCACTGGTCTCACCAACCACAATAATATTGTCGCCAGAGTCAACAGTAAGCCCAAATATATTGTCTGCGGCCGTGCTGCCTTGCACCTGCGTCCATTGCCACACGCCAGTACTGCTAATCTTCATGATCAAGAAGTCAGTACCTCCTGAGCTGGTGAAGCTGTCAATTGGCCCTTCTGTGTCGCCAGCCAGAACAAAGTCACCCGAACTGTCCACGGCGAGTGCCCGAATGACGTCCGCCCCAGATCCGCCCCTTTGGGTGACCCACTGATACACCCCTCCAGAACTAATTTTCATCAGAAAAACATCCGAGCTCCCGGCGTTGCTTCCGCCATCCAAAGCGCCCAGCGTGTGACCAGCTACAAAGACATTGTTCGAGGCGTCCAGTACCACAGCATTTCCAAATTCGTCATTTGCTGTGCCCCTTTGAAAGCTCCACTGATGTTCTCCTGTGCCGCTCACCTTCACTACAAACAGATCCCTTCCGCCAGCGCTGGTGCCCGCGAAATCCCCGAGCGTGTCCCCGCTTACAACAATGTTACCTGCAGAGTCGCTTCCGACACTTCTTCCAACATCTTCGACAGTGGATCCCAGCTGGTAGACCCAATCTTGCCATGTCGCCGCACATCCTGAGACCATGACCCACGCGATGAGCTTGAATGCCATGGCTTCGAGTCTCCGACACCTATAGAAACTGCTTTGTGATGCTGAGTTGCCTGATTCTGCAGTTCTGGAAGTGTCTCAGATGGCAGCATGAAAGTGGCCACCACAAATACCCTACCATCCCTAACCTGGGCCGGCAGGTATCATGCGGTGGTTACAGGTTCTTTTCAGCGGCTCCGAAGCCTGGGCTTGGGGTGCAGGATGGGGCGTAGGGCCAGAGTCTGAGTTGTCACGGGCTGTTTGGGTTGTCCTTCTGCCTGGCACGCGCTTGGCGTTGGGAGCGGCGCTGTCTGGGACCACGCGGTAGCTCACTCGTGTGCCTTCCGGTGGTATGACCTCGAAGGCGCCGTTCAAAGCTTTAATACCCAACCCCACACCGCCTAAACCCACCTTTGGAGGGAAGTGCATTTCCGCTGCTTGCCTATATGTGACCCTGCATTGCCAGGTCTGCTGGGTTCCAGGCCGACCCAAATGCAGCGCACGCAATGGGCATCACGAACATTTTCTGACAGAACCAAGCACTTATGACACAAGCACTTAAGTTCACAATTGTGACAGAGAAGGAAAGGGGAGAGGGAGAGAGTGAGAACAAGATCGAAGTGGGGTGGTTCAGAGAAGGTGGTCGTGGGCTCTTGCGACCAGGGTGTGCATGGTGTGCCTGCCCATCATCTTGAAGAATGAAGCCGTACCTGTCTCAGAGTGGCCTTCTGTATACGTGCTGGCCATGGGGACGGCGGCAGAATGGGATCCATGCTCTAACCCAGAGCCCGGGCAGAGACCAAAACTGAGGCAGGAACTTCTCCCCTTGCTGCTGGATGGTTCCAGAGCAGTCCGAACCTGCGGATGCTGAGGAGAGCGATGTCCCCATGGCCTGGTGCCATGCCACGACAGCATGCGACGACGGCATGGGAGTGCTGCAGGAAATGCGGGGGACTGCCAACCTCCAGCCGGACATTGTCTGCTCGTGGTCTGCCCGTCTTGCTGTCCAGAACCACCTCAGTGCTCACATGCACTTGCGGAGGGGCCACTTGTGGCCGCCGTGCTGTTGCTTATTTCCGTTTTCTCTACCCTCTGGTCAACTCGACATGCCCAAAGCAGGCTCAAATCAGTAGACCTGAAGGCAACGATGTGAACAGACCTCGCCTGCACAGAGCAAAGCTTGGAGCCTGACTGTGTAGACAACTCGAGTTCCTTCTGGCCTGGGCTGACAACATCCAAAAAGGTTTCCGGATCTTACTTGTAGCATTAGCGCACGCACTTCTGCTATCGAAGTGCCACTCCGCAGGGACACGTCGAGGCACTAGTTCTCTGGAGGCGGGGTCGTAACCGCAATAAAGACCCATTTTTTTAACCACAACAAGGAATCACTTAACCATGATAAGGATTTGTGCCTCAGTGCATGATAGCCACAATGCCTGCGACCCTTCAACTACCCACAAAACGCCCCCGAAACCATTCTAAGCCCCAACCCCAAGCCCTAAAACGAAGCCCAAGGCTCCAGTGACAAAAAGGCCTGAGAATTGAGGTTTTGGGCCTCCCAAAGCTCCAAAACCAGGGTCTTTCTGTCACTGCCCGCCCCCCCCGCCGCCCGCATGGGAGTGACAAAAAGACCTGAGAATTGAGGTTTTGGGCCTCCCAAAGCTCCAAAACCAAGGTCTTTCTGTCACTGCCCGCCCCCCCCCCAGGCCCGCATGGGAGTGACAAAAAGACCTGAGAATTGAGGTTTTGGGCCTCCCAAAGCTCCAAAACCAAGGTCTTTCTGTCACTGCCCGCCCCCCCCGCCCAGGCCCGCATGGGAGTGACAAAAAGACCTGAGAATTGAGGTTTTGGGCCTCCCAAAGCTCCAAAACCAAGGTCTTTCTGTCACTGCCCGCCCCCTCTCCAGGCCCGCATGGGAGTGACAAAAAGACCTGAGAATTGAGGATTTGGGCCTCCCAAAGCTCCAAAACCAGCTTCTGCCACTGCCCGCCCCCCCCCCCCCCCCCCCCCCCCCCCCCCACCCATGGGAGTGACAAAAAGACCTGAGAATGGAGGTTTTGGGCCTCCCAAAGCTGGAGTGACAAAAAAGGCCTGAGAATTGCGGTTTTGGGCCTCCCAAAGCTCCAAAACCACTATCATTGTTAACCACGATCATGCCAACCCTAAACCACTATCGTGAAACCACTATCATGCCAACCCTAAACCGCTATCATTGTTAAAGAAACCCTTGTCATTGTAAAAACTTTTTTTTCATGGTTAGAACCCCAGCGGTCTGGGGCTCCGCAGCAGGATGGTACGCTTGAGGTTTGGTGAAGATTTGCCACTTCGAGGGGTAGAAGGATCACTGAGCAACACTTTTTCCGGATCACTTAGCCGCTTTAGCCACATCGGACCCGCACCGTTTCGGATCACTTAGCAACGATTTCTTCGGATCACTTTGCAACGATGTGTTCACATATCTGAAACACGCCCCCTCATTTGGCGATTCGGAGTCATGAAATATTTTTAACACGCCCCCTCCTTTGGCCATTCCGGTTCATGATATATCTTAAATACGCCCCCTCATTTGGCGATTCCGGTTCATCAGGCCCATCATGTATCTTGAACACGCCCCCTCATTTGGCGATTCGGAGTCATCATATACCTTTAACACGCCACCTCCTTTGGCGATTCCGGATCATGATATGTTTTAACTACGCCCCCTCATTTGGCGATTCCGGCACACCCTATATCTTGAACACGCCCCCATTCCGGTTCATCATAAATCTTAAACTTCTTAAACATCTTAAATATGCCCCCTCATGTGGCGATTCGGAGTCATCATATATCTTAAGCACCCCTCCTCATTTGGCGATTCGAAGTATCTCAAACACGTCCCCTCATTTCGCGATTTGGAGTCATCATATATCTTAAACACGGCCCCTCATTTGGCGATTCCGGCTCATGATGTATCTTAAATACGCCCCCTCCTTTTGCGATTCCGGCACATCTTGTATCTTGAACACGCCCCCATTCCAGTTCATCATATATCTTAAACTTCATCACATATCTTAAATAAACCTTAAACACACCCCCCCCCCCCTCACGTGGCGATTCCGTTTCATCATCTATCTTAAACACGGCCCCCCGCGACACCCCCTCAGTCGGCGACTCCATCATCTTCTTAAACGCGCACCCTCATTTGGCGACTCCGGTTTATCATTCTTCTTAAACGCGCCCCCTCGTCTGTCGATACCCGTTCATCATATATCTTGAACGCTTTCTCATTTGGCGATTCCGGTTCATCATAATTCTTGGGGGGGGGAGGGCAGCCCCGCCCCCCCGCCCCCCATGTGCAAACACAATGCTCGCATCAGAGGCTTCGAATCGATGCATATGCTCTCAAGCAAGCGTAAAGAAAGGGGGGGCGCAGCCCCCCCCTCCCCCTCCCCACTTGCAAACACAATGCTCGCATCAGAGGTTTCGAAACGACCATGTGATCTGAAGCAAGATGAAGCAAGCTGCACCCTCCCATTTGCAAACACAATGCTCGCATGAGAGGATTCGAAACGATGCGTATGCTCTGAAGCAAGTTTGCGCGACTTAGAAAATGCGGGGGTTGGGGGGGTGGGGGGGGGGGGGCGGCTGCACTGAGGCTCAAGGCGGGATGGCAACTTCCCCGGTGCAAGCAGTGCAGGACCCGGGGAGGACCTGGTCTGCTGGCAGGACGCTCGTTTTGCCGGCCGCAGCATCTATACTTAAACGGCAAGGCGTAGCCATCCATGTAAGGCACCGGCGAACATCTTCTCGCCGGCATCAGACTGGATGAAGCCGTAGGTTGGCCCCACCTGCAGCTTCGGGTCAACACCCCGTGGCTTCTTCGGAAGAGACGAGGCTCCTCTCCCTTGCCTGCGTGATGGTGCCGGCCGCCTCCGGCATGGTGGACGCGCCGCCACCGTAGTCCATCCTTGGCAACAGGCGGTGCTGCAAGCTCTGTGCCAGGTCTCGCTGCTTGCTACAACCAGCGAAACCTTGCCGAACCTCGGCTACTTCCGTCGTCTTCCTCTTGTACACTTTACACTAGCCGGGTGCGAATGCTTCAGCCTCGAAACGCGCAGTCCGAGGTGTGGACCGCGCTCCCCAGTCCTCCTGCATCTGGGTCGCTGCTTGCAGGCGTCCCTTCTTCTGACCCTGGGTTGAGGGTTGATGCTTGCACGCAGGTTGCACGTGAACGCAGCGTGCCGACTTGTTCGAGATTTCTTCAGAATCACAACCAATGCATCGGCGCTGCTTCAGAAAGTGCCTCACAGCCCTGACGCCAAACCCTATCCTACCTCTGCTTGGTTTGAGCGCTCCGAGATCTGGGCCATGACCTCTGGAGACACATCTTCCGCCCGCGGCTGGCCTGTCTTACCTCGAATAGGATCTGTAGTGAGTGCACCATGCATCGTTAAGGCATTTTTTCGTCTCTGACAGCTGCGTTTGGACTCTTCAACTTTCAAAGAGGCACTTCTCAATGTTGATGGCTTAGAGAGGTCAAGGGCCGGCACTCTGGCAAGTCCAGAAAGCTAGGCAAGGTATAACGGTTGCGGCAGCTATATTGCGCCGTTCATCCAGATCAGGTTCGCCGCAACAAAAAACGCAACCGAAAGCCCGCTGCACGCCCCAAGGGTCAAGGTTGCAAATAGCACCGAATTTCCCAAATCCATACCTTGCAATCCTAGTCGCTTTCACAAGGAAAACTCCACGCATAATAAACTTTGGACACGCCGCAGGCTGTCGACTACCCCTCCAAGCCAACGCCAGGCCAAGCAAGCCAAACTACACGTGGTTTGGGGATGTTTGGGGTTTAACCCAGTCACCCCCGCATTGGATTGCCAACGTCTGTTCAGCTTATCTCCGGCTCTGAGGTCGGTGCTATCCGGGACCACACGGTAGCTGACCCGCGTGCCTTCAGGCGGAATGACCTTAATGTTTCGGGTCGATGTGGGCTGCATTCTCGCTGGGCAATCCTCCAGTGTGCAGCCATGCGCCCCCTGCATGCAACCAAAAGTACTGAGTTCCATGCCGAGCCAAATGCGGCACAGGACATGGGCATCACAAACATTTTCTGGCAGGGCAGAGGCCGGCAGTCCAGCTATGGGAGACGACTAAGCCAGAAAAACGGGAAGGGGAGGGGAACGCCTCACAAAGGGTGGGAGGAAGCAGAGGAAAGAGACAGAAAGCGGAAAGAGAGAGAGGAGTCGGAACGAGTATGGTTTCCGATTGGTGATGCTGCCAGGTCTGTGATAGTGACTGAGACTGCACCTGCCCGTCATCCTGCTGAATGAAACCATACCTGTGCCCAAGACCGGCATGCTTGCGTGCGATTCGGAACCCGCACCTGTCACAAAGGCACGCGACTGACGCCTTTCGGCTCAGAGCTGAGTTGAGAACTTCTCCCCTCGCTGTTGGATGGCCCCGGAGAAATCCAGCCCCCCAGCTGCCGAGGGGATGGCGAGGGATGTCGTCATCCCCATTCCCTGACACCACTGTCAACACTGTCAAGGCAACATGCGGCCGACAGAAAGGCTGCAAAACTGCAAAAGGCTGCAGGCGCATGTCTGACATGTCCGACCTGCGGACGGACATTCTCAGCTCTGGGTCTGCCCGTCTTGCCGTCGACCACCACCTCAGCGGTTCGTTCGGATTATGGCCTGTCACACCGTCCACAGTTTAACCAAGAGCCGGGCCGAGTAAACGACTCTGGTTCCCAAAGGCCTTTCCAGGCATCGTGGGCAAAGGAGAGCTTCTCCAAAGATGCTGAGGCTCAAGGCGGGATGGCAACTTCCCCGGTGCAGGCAGTGCAGGACCCGGGGAGGACCTGGTCTGCTGGCAGGACGCTCGTTTCGCCGGCCGCAGCGTCTATACTTAAACGGCAAGGCGTAGCCATCCATGTAAGGCACCGGCGAACATCTTCTCGCCGGCATCAGACTGGATGAAGCCGTAGGTTGGCCCCACCTGCAGCTTCGGGTCAACACCCCGTGGCTTCTTCGGAAGAGACGAGGCTCCTCTCCCTTGCCTGCGTGATGGTGCCGGCCGCCTCCGGCATGGTGGACGCGCCGCCACCGTAGTCCATCCTTGGCAACAGCCGGGCCGGAGGCGGTGCTGCAAGCTCTGTGCCAGGTCTCGCTGCTTGCTACAACCAGCGAAACCTTTCCGAACCTCGGCTACTTCCGTCGTCTTCCTCTTTTACACTTTACACTAGCCGGGTGCGAATGCTTCAGCCTCGAAACGCGCAGTCCGAGGTGTGGACGGCGCTCCCCAGTCCTCCTGCATCTGGGTCGCTGCTTGCAGGCGTCCCTTCTTCTGACCCTGGGTAGGATTGACATGGACTGACGCTTTTGCAAGGTAGAGGAATCTTGGCCTTAGATTGGCACCCCCCCCGCAGTCTACACTGGGTAGAATCATAGGTTAACATTGCATGTAAGCGCCGCATGTCGGTTTCCTCCAGGTCACCCCAGCACGAGAACAAACACGTTGACCCGCTCACGTGAACAGCTATGGTTAACGATCGGTTGCTTGGACAATTCCGAGTTCCGGGCCATGACCTCTGGCGACACGTCTTCTGCGCGCGGCCGCCCAGTCTTGCCTCGAGGTTAGCTTACTGGTTCTTGAGCAAGGCTTAGATACCTCTGAGACACGAGGCCTTACTGGATGTTTCCAAATTCTGGAAATGTGTACTTCATTGCATCTTCTATACGTATGTACATATGCACATATACATGTATACGTAAACATATATATATATATATATGCATGAACGTATATATATATATAGATACATATTGTTTATTTGTTTGTTTATCTATTTTTATTTATCTTTATATTTATATTTCTCTATGTATGGTCCCCTCCCCGTCCCGAGACCACACTTTATGTGCGTGTATATATACATATGCATATATACTTCCCATACATGCTTCTGTTTTTTTGCTTTCTCATACTCGGTCAGTGCCAGGAACCATCCTGTTGGCCTTCTGGCTGTGTGTGCCCACCGAATTCCCGCTATTTTTGCTTCATTGTTGGGCTTGTCGGGTTTGGGGTTTAGATTAGATTAGAGTTTAGGGTTTTGGGGGGCTTGCCGCCGGCCGGAGGGGTGGGAGCTTAAACTGTAAGATATTTACGATTTTCTTGACTCGTTTCATACACATTATAAACTTGATGAGCGCATAACACATTAATTGCTCGTGCTTAAGTTTCCGACCGGATTCCGATTGGGCAGATAATGTTGGTTCTTTGACAAATGCTGCATTTTTGCGTTTATACAAAAAGGAATGGTTTTTCGCATATTCACTCATGTTGATATTTGGCATGAACGTTTCCAATATGGAACGCAGCTCACGCTTCCTGATTGCTGCGAAGGCTTCTGAATCAATAACTGAACATCATCGCCAGACTACTGGCCAATGGCGCATGGGCTTTGCCTTGTATAGGTTAACTAACAGACTTGACCCCGGTTTTATTGTGTCCATATTATATTTGCCTTGCCAACTTAAAGAGTTCAAAGTACTTAAAACAATAGAACAATAGCATTGATCCATCTACGAATGTGCAAGATATATTTAGGTTCTTGAGATGCATTCAAGCCGGATCCATTGACTCTGGCTCTAGATTTCACCGGATTTGGATTGCTTGAAACAGCTTAAACAAAAGAAGTTACACCAATTCGCTTTAAATTGCCATGCCTGTAAACATTTTGAATGCTACGATTGACCCATATAAGCTGATTTAAACAATTCAAATTGTCTGAGACATTTACATGACAAGTCATGCAAAAAGAAGTTACACCAATTCGCTTTGAATTGCTATACCTGTAAACATTTTTTAATGCCACGATTGACCCAGGTGTTTATACGGTTTAAATGATAGAGCTGACGCGATTTCCAGGATTAGTCTTTTACATTGTCAAATTTCTATTGTCGTGAGGACCTATCTTTTCGAGACCTGAAATTTTCACAAATTCTAATTTCCAAACTTGCACGTTCCCTTTTCGCAATGCCACATCCCACAAGCGCACAATCCTGCAAGCGAACAATATCAGAATGCCACAAACCACAAGCGCAGGGTTGGCGCTAGTGAAACCTCATTGTTTTCGCTCCCACCAGCTTGCCCCAACCCCCTGCTCCCAATTGTCATGGGGGCCCCCTGCCGCTGACCCCCTACCCGCCATTCAATATCTTAAACGAAGTAAGTAAGCACGCCAAATAAAACATACACACATATTTCTCACCCTTCCATAGCGAGTGGGGCTCATTGTCTCATTGTGAAGATGCCTTTGATGGCAAGGGCTTACCTGTACTCTGGGGATGTTTCGGCTCACACTAGCACTGGGTTTGCAGTCTCACAACTCTGGTAGGCCAGGCGGAATGGCCGCTACTACATCCCGCAATGAGTCCTCATCCATGAGACGGTTTTCAAAACTCCCTCCTCAAGGCCCATGCTTTCTACCTGTTCATGCGCTTGCATGGCTGAGGTCGGTGCTATCTGGGACCACGCGGTAGCTGACCCGCGTGCCCTCGGGCGGTATGACCTCCAACTTACACTCCGGCAAATTCGGACCGCAAGGGTCAGCAGCCCGCTCACCATGTGGGGCTCTTTGAAACTTTGGAAGGCAGCGTCAGAAGCAAACTCACTTTTCAGCTCGCTCTGGAGGGGCCCAAGTCAGGACTCCCGGACTTGCTCGCTGAGGCGCTGCGCTGCCCAAGTGACTCAAGCCCGAAGAACTTCATGGTTCCCCCGAGCTCCGCGCCGAGCCAAATGCCGCACAGGCGATGGGCATCACAAACATTTTCTGGCAGGCCCGCGGCTGGATTTACGAGAGAGCGAGAGAAAGAGAGACCCCTCCACCCACAGGCACACACACACACACACCCACCCACCCACCCACCCACACACGCACGCACGCACGCACAGACATACAGAGACACACAGAGACACACAGAGACACAGACACAGAGACACACATGTGTGACAGAGAGAGTCAAGAGAGAGTGGCAGATCTAGGAAGAGAGGGCAACCGGCGGTCAGAAAGAATGGTTTCCGATTGGTGATGCTGCCAGGTCTGTGATAGTGACTGATACTGCACCTGCCCGTCATCCTGCTGAATGAAACCATACCTGTGCCCAAGACCGGCATGCTTGCGTACGATTCGAAGCCCACACCTGTCAAAGGCACGCGACTGACGCCTTTCGGCTCAGAGCTGAGTTGAGAACTTCTCCCCTCGCTGTTGGATGGTCCCGGAGAAATCCAGCCCCCCAGCTGCCGAGGGGATGGCGAGGGATGTCGTCATCCCCATTCCCTGGCACCACTGTCAACACTGTCAAGGCAACATGCGGCCGACAGAAAGGCTGCAAAACTGCAAAAGGCTGCAGGCGCATGTCTGACATGTCCGACCTGCGGACGGACATTCTCAGCTCTGGGTCTGCCCGTCTTGCCGTCGACCACCACCTCAGCGGTTCGTTCGGATTATGGCCTGTCACACCGTCCACAGTTTAACCAAGAGCCGGGCCGAGTAAACGACTCTGGTTCCCAAAGGCCTTTCCAGGCATCGTGGGCAAAGGAGAGCTTCTCCAAAGATGCTGAGGCTCAAGGCGGGATGGCAACTTCCCCGGTGCAGGCAGTGCAGGACCCGGGGAGGACCTGGTCTGCTGGCAGGACGCTCGTTTCGCCGGCCAGCAGCGTCTATACTTAAACGGCAAGGCGTAGCCATCCATGTAAGGCAGCGGCGAACATCTTCTCGCCGGCGTCAGACTGGATGAAGCCATAGGTTGGCCCCACCTGCAGCTTCGGGTCAACACCCCGTGGCTTCTTCGGAAGAGACGAGGCTCCTCTCCCTTGCCTGCGTGATGGTGCCGGCCTCCGGCATGGTGGACGCGCCGCCACCGTAGTCCATCCTTGGCAACAGCCGGGCCGGAGGTGGAATCTGCCATTGCCTGTTGCCTTTGCAAAATCTCTACTGAGTAGACCGACTAGACCCCTCTGGACATCCTGGCACTCGGGTGTGGACGGTGCACCCCACTGCTCCGGCACCACATTCTCCGCGCGCGGTCGCCCCGTCTTCTGATCCTTGTCAGCGGTGCATGTTCGGACATGTGAGCACAAACACCGCGCAAGCCACAAACAGCCCCAGTAGTCATTTCTGACTCCGGAACGGAATGCCCACTACTACTGTTTTCGAGACCAAACTAGCAGCCCCGGAGCCTGTACCACTTCGTACATGACGCGAGTGCCCACTGGTGGGATCTCACCGCCACACGACTTTGGAAGGACGAACATCTCAGCCTTCCATTTGCGTGTTCATGACTCAGCCAAACCAGGCATGGGACTACAGCTGATGTCCACCGGATGTTGCACAAGACCCGCTCACTAAACTAAATGAGATAGACAAGGAGAAGAGATGCCAATCAACTCCCCGCAGCACATACACGTCGAGCGATGCGAAACGACTTGCACATGCCAAAGGGGGGGGTTCATTCTTTTGAGCAGTCTGCACTTGACTTGCCTGTGAACCCTGCTGGTTTCTATATGCTTTGTCATGTTACGGGAGGATGCGACTCTACGCCCTAAAGTGCCGGAAGCACACGAGTGCTTTCAGCTCCCAGGCAAAAAGACTACACTGCGATGTGCGGAGCTGCACGAAGCTTGCGTGCGTCCCATGTGCCAGGGCGTAGCAGCAAGCCCATGTTCAACGGCCAGCGGGCAGCGCATAATTGTTAAATGGAGCGCCTCACCATTGTCTTGGTTGATGAAGCCGAACTGTGCCCCACCTAGGCATTCGAGAAGCCGGAGGCAATGTGCAGGAGGGTTCGTATGGTTCGTTGAATGTGGGTTTCGTACAAGAGCTGTGGTCCGGCCAACTTCAAGCAACAGCCCACAATTAGTGACATATTGCTTCTTTGAGCCATACACTTCTTCTCGTTGCAAGACTGGCCCCCGGTCCCCTCTGGGTCTTGTCCAAGGGACATTTGCCGATGCTGCCGGTCTTCATGCCCTCAGTCGCTTCAGGCCAGCAAGGCGCTTGAAATCCCCCTACCAGTACACATCGGGAAAAGCCCGTAAGCACAGAAAACCATCAGCAAGTTGACCGTGATACCAAGGTGTCTGGTAGATTGGTAGACATCTTTTCTGGGCTGCCACGCAGGTCTCACGTTGTCGGCCTTTGTCTTGCCGGTTTTCGGATCTGGCACGACGTCGTACTCGACGCGGGTGCCCACTGGCGGAATCTGATTGCCTGGCGGCAGACAATGCGCAGGATGCATCAGGAGGGCTACTTTGCAGGCCTGACGAGAGGCCCTACCTCCCAACCTCTGCTGCACCGTGATGGCCGGGAGCGCTGCAACTACGACCATGGACATGTGACATATATGACTGTGCATGACCACATGACGACGCAAGGCAACTGATCAACTTGTAAACTTCGTCCCCTTTGTTTAGACGACTCTGACTCATTGGCCCATTGAAAACGTGCCGGTCGAGCCAAAGGCCCCACAGGAGAACGGGAGGACCTTGGAATCACTGGAAACCCTCCCACCAGTAGTTTCTAGGGTTGCTCACCAAGCTGTCGAGCGAGGGCTGAAAGATGAAGATAACCATGGCCACACAACAAAGCAACCACAACACTTGGAAGATGCGAAATCCTCCCGCTCCCGGGTAATCTTTGCACATGCGTGTGGCGCACGACGAGAAAGCCTTGCAATGCCCACGGCCGAGTCAAGCCGGAAAGATGGGGGCACCCGCCATCGGGCACGCTCACATGGTGGCCAAACTCAAGTCGCCGATTCTTGTGGACAGAGCCGGCAGACCAGCTTCGTTTGTGCCTTTGGTTGGCCAGTGTTTCTTTTTGGCTGCCGTCGCCCCTCACCCAGCATGTACACATGCCACCGGACAACACGCAGTCGTCCTATGTCGTCTTGTGCCAAGATGTCGTCATGCCGACAGATGCCCATTCCACTTGACGTGTATGCGGCGATCTGCGTCCCAAAAGGGGTGCGGAGTTCCCGAGAATCTCAGCAGCCCAACTACCCTGGTGGGGGCGGGATGCGCTCCTTGCAGGGAGCATCGCAGTACCTAGGTGCCTTCTCCGAATCTGCTGGATTTCTCAGAGTTGGGAAGGTTGAGAGCAAAACACAATTGGGGTTGGAATTCGGGACCGCCACGCTTGCGCGTGCACGCGGCAGGCAGGGTGTCACGTGGTCTTACACTGGGGGCCATGGCAAACATCCGCTCGCCGTTATCCTGGTCGATGAAGCCATAACCGTTGCCTCAGGCATCCAAGCGGGCTCTAAGATCAAAGCCCTCAAATTGTCCTATCGCCCAATGGGCCCTGCGGCCCTGCAGCAAGCTGCTTGGTTAACGGGGTGTCCATGGCATCTGTCGCAACAAGGAAAGTAGGGCTCAAGCAAATCTTCGAAACGACCTCGGCATGTCAAGCCACCTCCGCACCCCCCCCCCCTTGCCCCCTCTGAACAGACACAGCACCAAGTCAAACAAGTACGTGGGTCACGACTTTTGCCAAGAGGGTCTTGAGGTGCATTCTGTGAACAAGTGTGTTGGCATTCCATCAACGCCTAGCACCTCGAGCATGCACTAGCATCGCTGAAGGCACTGGGATCTGCACCCCAAGTGTGCCGGATGCAATGCCGGCCGCTCCAGGTTGTTCCTGTAGCGGGTATAGGGTGTTTGGCCGGTTGAAGCACACCTCGGCGCTTTTGGGCCATCGTTGATACGCATTGCATATGGCCCTGCTAGGAACTGCAAGAGCAAAGGATGCATGCGCAAACCGTAGCGTCTGAACCTTGAGAATAGCCCGGCACTTGCTTTTTGCCGCCGCAGTGCGGGATCCTAAATAAAATTTCCTAGCTTGCATCTGCAGCATAAGCCTGTCTGCTCGCCGATGGCCGGCTGGTGCCTTCCAGAGGTTGCACCTTCAAAGCAGGTAAGGTTTCAAGGGTAGCCCCCAAGCCCCCAAGCCCAATCCTCAAGAGAAGCCTTCTGGCCAGACAGTCGGTTGCAGTTTGTGTCAAGCAGGGGACGTTTTGAACCCGACCCGACAAAAATGATGGTCAACTCCCTCAACACATGTATGAGCAAGTACTGCGGGTTGGAGGTCTGGGCAAACTCCAAACCCAGAAGAGCCTTCAGTGGACTGAGACCGCGGCATTTTCGACCCGAGGGCCGGAATTCTTCGAGTCGACAACTACGTCGTACATCACCTTGTTCACGAGTTTTGCAAGCTATGCCCCAAATCTAACCCCATACCTCTCTTGTTCTCTCCGGAATTCTGGCCAGCAGGTTCTTGCTCCTACCTACACTTGCAACCCGGCGAATGCACCCTCTCAGCCCAAACCCTTTTCAAAGCACATGGTGTTAACTTAAGGCTTCGGGCTTTAGGGTCCCCCTTTCAGCTCCAGAACCTTGGGCACCCGCCCGTGTGCCAACCGGTGGGATAGCGCTTTGGCCGAAGGCCCGTTGGAATGAGCCGGGCCTCTGGCAAAGGGCTTGGGGCTCTACCTTGACCTTCGCATCATCGACATTTTAGCAGGCATGTGGGGGAGATAGGGCTTGTAGGGGGAGATGGGGCTTGTAGTGCTTGAGGATGCTTTTAGTTTTCCAGCTCTCTCTGAAAACTGCACGTCCAGAAGGACTGCTTGTGGAAATTTGGGGCAACGGGATTGGGGTGCCGATCTGGGAGTTTTGGGCTCTTGCACTTTGGTGGCCGAAGTCAAGGTCCAAACAAACTGACAACCCGTGCTGTCGCAGGTTTGGGTCGCAGTGTTCTGCGGGGAAATGAAGTACAGGACTGCAGCTGTAGCTGTGCAATATGGCCGTGGTCGACATTCGCTAATCGCTAATGAAGCACCCACATTGCGGCGCCCACGGAGACAGGAAAGACTATTGGAGCTTTAGCTTTGACTGCGCATGCTGGGCTGATGGCAAGCAATAGATCTTGCTGCCATCGTGATCTTGCGCGATGTACCCGTGCTCTGCCTGCTGGACCAACATGTCGCTTGGTTTCAGAAACAGTTACTCCCTCACGGCCCCCCAGGAGTTCAAGACTGGCCCAAAACCTCAATCGGCCGTGGCTGATCTAAAGCTCTACATGTCTGTGCACCCCTTCATTGAGCCAAGAGGCCCCGCTTTCCTGAATGGTCCCAGTGAGTGTCCTCAGAGCTTTCTGGCACCCGCAAAAGGCATGCAAGTGGTGACTCGACTGTGAACAGCAGGCGTGATGTTGTGATGGGTGCTTGGCATACAAGACCATATACATATATGCTATCATTGTATTCTGATTGTACTACTTATATTGATGCACTGTCGAGCTTGCCAGTTCTGAACGAGCACTCGCGAGCTCCCGGCCCAACAGGCTGCTCAGCTCCAAGCACGCCTGTTGCAGGTCATGCTTTCCACGTCATGCTTTCCGCATCATGTCCACTGTGGTCATCAGGCATGGAGGGTACGAACCCTGGAAACGTTGCAGTGCGGCTAGAATTGTCAAGTGCTCGACCGGTCAAGGCTGTAATTACCATCCGTGTCGACACGGGACAAGTCAACTTAGACAGTGGCAATGGTTGTATGTTTGATGCTGCTTGTCACCGCCGGTCCGGGGCCTCTTTCATGTGAGCAAAAGCATTCAAGACATCAACTCTTGAAGCAACTGAGGTTTCAGAGCTGGAGGCTTCAGGTCTCAGCCTTCAACTCCACAAGGCTTCAGAGCTTTGGGTTGCAGCCTTGAAGGCTGGCTTCAGATCTTTCATGGGGGGCTCAGAGGGAGTTTCCAGACTGGGATTCGTGGTTGAAAGTTGACAGGTTTCTTTCCCTACTGGCGAGCTGCATCTTTTGAACTCAGTGCCCCCACCGCCCTGCTAACAGCAGGCACACATCACCATGAACGAGCATACGCTTCCAGCTCGAAGGCTGCTTAGCAACTAGCCCCCAAAAGCCTGAGCAACAGAAAACCCAAGCACTGAAAGCCCCGAATGCTGCAAAAAACCCTTGAAGCTGAATCCTGAAGTCCCGAAATCCGAAAGCCCAGTAGGATGGCCTGGCACTTCAGACTCAGACTCTGGGAAGACGTTCTCTGCTCGGGTGCGGAGCGTCTTCTCATCAACCGCCAGCTCATAGCCTTGTTTTTTTTTTCAGAGTCTACAGAGTCTACAGGCCTAACCTCCCGAAAAAAACACCGAACTTTCGGAACTTTGGGGCCTGAACTTTGGGCTGCTAAGATGGCCCCGCGGTTGCCAGGAGAACAGGTCCCCAAGGGTTCCAGGGCTAAATACGCGACCGGTGCTCATGCCGCCGCTGTGAGAAGATCAGGTTGGGCCCGCGGGGGGTCTGAGGGTCTGCAGACTCGGCTTCTCCAGGGCCCTGACGCACCCGGGAACCAATCGGTGGCAGAAGGTTGTTGAAGCCCTTGCAGCCTCTGTGCACTCGGCGCTCAGGCTACACCTGAGGATCTCTGTCTTCAGCACGCTATCGGGTCACCTGCACATCTACCAGGGGCCTTTCGGCATGACGAAGAGCTCGTCCCCTCCTCCATCTGGCTGTATGAAGCCTCAGTCTACAGCACGCTTCGGCTCGGCGCTTGTTTTTCTAGTTCAGCGCTGAGATTCATGGGCGGAGTCGCATATATCAGCACCAGTACTACAAGTAGGCTGAAAGGCTTTGGCGTTGAGCCGCGGGAGGGCCCATGCGATTGAAACCTTTCTGTTTGCAGCTGCAGCAGCCAAAGGTGCCAAGGTTCTTGATGAGCTTGCCTGGGTCAGGGCAAGTCGGCTGAAAACTTGGTCAGGTACGATTGGCGGAGTCTCAGCACTGAATTTCCCATCCCAACAAACCGCTCGAAAGACCGAAAGACTGCGACTCGCTTCCGAAACGCCCGAAACACCCGCAAGCCCGGCCTGAATAGACGTCCCCGCTCCCTAACGTTGACGTCGCGCCCTTTCCGCTTGTCAACTCGGCGGGGCCTCCGGGAGCTGGCCCACAACGTCTCACTCGGTTGCTTCTTTTGGGGGTTCAGGGAACACTTTTCATGGATGGAGAAACCTATGCCGCCCCTAAACGCTGAACCCACAATTTACCTCATCCAACATACCTCATGACAGCTTCTCCTATATGACTGTGTCGCGTTCTTTCCCTGCCCTGCAGGCTCAATGGTGGCGCGGCCTGCGGATGCCTGCTGTCTCCCTCAAGGGAGACATCCAGGCAGACGGTCTACCCAAAATCACGCCATGCGTTGCCATTTATATCACGTCGTCAACTCGCATCTGCTGTCAAAACATGCGGTTCAACTAGCCAGTCTCTTTCTCTCTTTCTTTCTTTCTTTCTTTCTTTCTTCCGTTCTTTCATAGGCCCGGGGGCAAACCCCCACGCTCTCGGCGGGCCCTCACGTTGTTGTGGCGGCTGGTTCTGAACTCGGGGGGACTCTGATATCACCCCCGCCCCCATTTGGAACCACAGACTGTGCCCCCCGAGTTCATAGAGCGGTAGCTCTTTGACAGCAACGAAAAATGGGGTTAGAGGGAAAAACATGCAAGGTACACGGATTGGATCGAGATTGGTGACCCCGCCTCACGAATTTGGCCCTCTCACCCAGCAACTGACAATCTGCTAGCCAGTCTCTCTCTCTCTCTCTCTCTTGCTCGCTTGCTCGCTCGCTTGCTTGCTTGCTTGCTTGCTTCCAGCGCATATGACCCCCCAAAGGGCCGCCCCAAGGGGCATGCTCCACCGAGTCATTTGGTGTGACACATGTGCTCTGTGGGGAATTGTAGCACCAGGGCTGAGATTGTCTCCTCTTCTTCTTCTTCTTCTTCTTCTTCTTCTTCTTCTTCTTCTTCTTCTTCTGCTGGGCTTGAAGCGGAGGCCCCCGCGCACTGGCGCTCCCGAAGTTCTCTCTTCTTCTTCTTCTTCTTCTTCCTCTTCCTCTTCCTCTTCCTCTTCTTCTTCTTCTTCTTCTTCTTCTTCTGCTGGGCATGAGGAGACTGGGGGGTCGCCCCGCGCACCAAGGCGCGCCCGAGTGCGAGATCCAAGAGTAAGACGTGTTTGGGGATTGCCGTGTTGGTTTTCCCCGTTGGTGGTGTTCTCTCTCTCTCTCTCTTTCTCTCTTCTCTCCACAACCAACGACCGAACAAACATTGAGGTTCTTCAGGGGACTCTTCAGGGGACTAACTATGCGAACTTAAACTTAACATACACACTACAAACACATTGAACAATGGAACGAGAGAAACACAAAACTATGTTCAATGAGCACATCTGACAGACGAGTCATAAATGACAACCCATAGCAAAATCTTATAAGAATACGAACAGCATGCAAGGGCACAAGTGCCAGAGCCTTCAAGGCCATCCCGCTGCCAGACCTTGAAATTCGATCCAAAATCACGTACGTGAGTTCCGGCATGCAACTCCTTTCTTGAGGCGCTGGCAGCGCCGATTTCCATCACCTGCACAAAGCGCAGGTGATGGATGCTTCGGCATCGCCGCGACCTTGCGAACCTTAAAGTGGTCCACCTCCAGACCCGGAGCTGCTTCTTCGACTCAATCGGCGAATCTTTGCGGGCAGGCCTGCGCAGAGCATGTGAACTGATGCCCTTGGAATGCGCAACAAGCTTGGGAGCTGGAAAGATGCAATAAGGTTTCAAGATGTCGCAATCCAGGTCAGGATCCCAATGGTTCGGGAGTGAGCTTGAAGCCGCATGACGGTTGCCGACAACGTCTGAGCTTCCATCTTTCCAGCCCAACAGCTGGAAGCGTCACGTCCGCCCTAGAAGTCTGCCATCAACGTCCGAGCTTCTTTCCGAGCAAAGTCAAGAGGCTCTGAAGCCCAGACCGCTCGAAGCCTGCTGGACTAACATAATAACCCATGAATCGTAGTCCCGACACCCCCATACAAGGCCCGGAATCGGGGGGAGGAGAACACCCAGACTTCCCGGGTTTTATTCCCGGGTGGGGGGGGCGCACAGTTGGCAAGACCATCTCTCTGGCACCCGATCCAAAGCAGTTCTAAGAAATTCTATTCAGGCTTTCCTGCTTCGGGCACTTAGGGCGGGGGGCTTCGGGGCTTGGGATGGTTGGGAGTTGGTAGGAGTTCGAGCCAGTTCGAGTCTTGAGGCTCCACAGGTTCTGAAGTACGTCGGGCTGGTAGTCTCTTGGAAGCCTGAGGCCAGCGTTCAGTGGAGTGTGTGCTGTGCGCATGGTTTCGGGTTGGTGGTCTGGACTTGCAGCGTGGATCTACGCATCTTCCCAGCAAGGCCAATGGCGGCGGCATGCGTAAAATGGACCCCTCAGCGACGCATCTTCGGCTCTGTGTCGGCTTCACATGACGAAACGCCACGCATGCATGAGTCATGAGGGCGACGCCCTTTCTACGCATGCTGTGCCACTGCCCCAAATTGCAGCTTTAAATTGCGAAGCTGATTTGTTATTCCAAGCCAAAGCCTTAGAACAGCCTCAGTTTGCTCTCTTTTTTGGCCTTCCACGGTGTCTCTGGTAAGCTGCACTTCGTGCAATGCAGGGCAGATGTGCTTTTGCTGGCACCAGGACACTCATCTGGGCGGCACTGGACGACAACTAACACTACCGAAAACAACATGCAGGGGCTTGTGCACGGGGGTGTGCCGGCTCTCTTTTTTTCTCCAAAACTAACAGTGCAGCCCTGTTGAGCTGAGGTCCCAAAACCCCCCACGCAAACAGCCTGAAACCAGAATGTGGCTGAGGCTGTGGTGCATTATCTCCAGCCTGCTGTCCCAAGGCTAGATGTCCGAAAGAACCTGGCTCGAAGCGCTTGCGAGTCAAGCTCAGAATGTGTTGCCGCCCGCCAGGCAGCAAGCCGCATTGCGGCAAGCAGGTCTCAGCGCTGAAACCGCTTGGCTTATTCCGTATCCCCTGAGCTGAAGAGCTGAGCTCGACAAAAAAGAACCGATGCTCTACGTTTAAGCCGCTATAACAACAAAATGGATTTCATAGAGGCATCCAAGACTCTCTCGGTGTCCTTCTTTTTCTTCTTCTTAGGCTTCCTAGGACAGAAGGCCCTCGAACAACGTCGAACCCCTGAAGCCATGAGCTGATGACAAACTGACTGCCCAACCCAATCCCAAACGCAGCCTCTCAAACCTATGGAGCAACAAAAGGCCTATGCCCTCGCCTCTCACTAACATTAACATTCCGAACAGGCTTAAGCTACACGTCATTCAATGCTAGGACTCTGTACGTCCTTTGGCCTAGAGCCTGAGGCCCTGAACTCTGCACCTTATGGCATCTGATGAACGAGGTCTACGAGGCCAGGTGAACGATGACAGTGCCCCTCCCATACCTTCCCGACACCCTTCCGGCTGGAGGGGACTGAACTGCCCAGGCGTCTCTTGGAAGGCGGAGCCCAGAAGGTCGTCGCCGCTGGCTTCAGGTGCACGGACTTCGGTCTCCTTGAGATGAAAACCCAATGAAAGCGAGGTATAAGGTTGATCCCAACCCCACAGGTTCAGGAAACAGTAACATGAGGCAACGGTTTGGGGCGTGCGTTGGGCACTGCGAATTGAAAAGGCATGTGTGCCATTTCGATGGGACTTAAATTTGCAGCATTTTTGTCGGTATTGCCCTTCGCGAAACGCTGCGTGCGGCCCAGCCGTGCCTTAAGGCCTTAAACTTCAACCCCTATGACATGTGATGATATATGTGTTTTTTCTGTACGTAACTGTCGCCATTTTGAACCATGCCATCACCTCAGATTCTTGCGCAACCTCGCATCTGCAGAAATGCAAGCACAAGTATGGGGCGGAGGAGTATGTATATATACATCTATATATATATATATATTTATTTATTTACATATATATATATATATATTAAGATGTTACAAGGGGTTTCTAGACAGCCCGCCACAGAAAATTGCCCTTCCCGCCCCCCCCCCCCCCTCCCCCCCTCCAGCCCCCCTCTGTGTCGGAGACGAGCATGGTTTTGGGATGCTTTTGGCCATTTTGGCCAAGAGACTGCTTTCACAACTAGTCGGGTTTGGTTGGGAATCATGGTCTTGGGATGTTTCTGGAAGCAGGGGATGATATGGACAATGTGGGACAGCGTCAGAGCCCGGCAATGAACCTTTCGTTGAACAGCTGCGCTCCAACTCGACTCTTCCAGTGTAGCTGAGACGAAGCTAGCGAATGTAGCCGTGTCTACTTCTTACTACATTGATGGGGGGACAGGCGATGGCCAACTTCTGGCCAACTTAGTACATACGAGTACTGCAGTCTTCACCCCTCTCCACGATCACACATGCCGCCGTGGCACGTCCAACACGCGCACGGAGATGGCATCCACAGGCTCATCATCTGCTGGGTCGCCAGCCTGGGTAGCACGAAGCCAAGCCCCCAAAGGAAACGAAGCAGGGCAGCACATTTCGACTACCGGATGCTGCCGTCGCCTGACCGAGAGCATGTGGGTGTCAGTTTCCGACGACAGAACACACTAACAAGTGAAAAGGTACGACTTGCACAAGATTCTGACAACAGATTGAGGCATGCATTTCACTTGCGGCATCTGTACCTACAAGGAATTTCCATTGTCGTCGCCGATTGTTGTTCTCCAGGCCATCATTTTTCACTTTGAGAACTGGAGGCCTGGGGCAGCCTGCAACGAGAAACCCGCACAAGTTCTTGTCGGGGAACGCCAAGAGGTAATTGCCTGACTTCCTTGCTGTTCACAGACGTTTTGCGTGAAGTGGCAGATGCTCGTCGCGGAATCTGTACTTGGGGTTGCGGCAAGACAAAGAACCCCCCAGGCCGAGTAGACAAAAAAACACGAACGGAAACTGCATTCCCGTGCTGTTTGAAGTCTGATGGGGAAAATTCATCCACCGCGTCACAGGCTCACAGTCTGAAACGAGCAGAAAGCTGTACGAACCTGCACGTCCACATGATTTACCAGTCACAGAATGTGGTCCGTCAGCATTGTCACAAGGTCTGCTTTCTGCCCTGTGGGGCTTTTAAGCTTCATCTACCAGGAAGTTGAATGCTTGCAAAAGTAAGTCTTCACAACGCAACAAGAACTCAGGCCGAAACAGATGGCTCTGACTTGTCCTTCTTTTGCTTCTTCTCCTGATGCATTTACATGCAGGGTTTCAAGATCTGCTCATAATATCTGCCTCATCTGATTTATCCGGGCATGCGTGAGAGCCGCCTCAGCTCTGCAACTCAACAGTCCTTCTTCTCCTTCTTCTCCTTCTTGCCCTTCTTTCCGCCAACCTCTTCGTCAGCGAGGTTGGAATCCTTGCTTTGAGCTTTGCACATCGCAGCTTCTGAGTGGCACAGCTACGAGTGGAAAAAGGCACAGCCGATGCAAATACAGCCCTCAGACCAAGAGAAGTGAGAAGCAGAGAAGCGGGCGCAGGAAACCTAAGAAACAAATCGTAGATGGCAGATGGCATAGATGGCATCGCCGGCTACATGAGTTGCAGTCAAAGCTTCGACCCACAAGCAGAAGGTTGGGGACCCCCTGATACAACTTTTGGAGTTCTGGTTATTTAGACACGCGCACTCACACACATACACTCACTCATGGGATCTTCCCCCGTACTCATGGATCGAGTCAAACCTGATTGATTCAGGCCGACATGGAAGCGGCTTCACGAATACCTTGAAACATTGCAGGTACATCCGCAGGCGTCCCTGTAGACTTCCCCTTATCCACTTAGCTTCGTTGGGTATGGTCTGGGAGTGAGGGGCATCCCCCCCTGCTTCAAAAATCCGGAACTACAAAGCTCTTGGTAGAAAGAGGCTGTCACGCACACACACAGAGGCACAAAGACCGAAACACAGAGTGATACAGCGGAAGCATCATCATCGTGCGAAACACAGTTCTCGTCAAGCGGCGGCTGGCAAGCTCTCTGCATCCCCTTGCTTGCCCACGACCGTAGAGGAGGGAACCACGACGCCTGCGAGCGTTCAATAATCGCGAGCCCTTTCGTGCCCTGCCCCGGCTTCCTAGAGGAAGCTGCTGCTGTCTGTGCATCTTGCTGCAGCTGTAGCTGCCAGGCCTCTCTCCCCGAACCTCAAGCCTTGTTGATGCAGTTCTGCCGCAGATCTGCCCCTTCCATCTTAGAGATGAGCCCCCTAAACCTTCAACTTAGGAAGTTTTTCTGCGCCCGTGAGACCGCAAGCGCCACCGCCGCACACCTCTCTTAAAGGCTGCATCGAAGAATAAGGGCTAAAGCAATTGGAAGCATCGCAAGAAGCATAGGAACAATAGTGGAACAATATTGACAACTTGTTGGGGGAAACGTCCACGAAGCCCTCGACGCACGGTTTCGAAGGCCTGGGGTTGGTGTCCCTTCGGCGCCCTCCTCAAGGAGGGTAGTCTTCTCCTGAAGGGTTCAGATGAGTTCAGATGAGTTTAGGGCAGTTTTCGGCTTCTTGGGGCTTCTTGGTGTCAGGGCTTTGGAGCTCGGACTTAGACAGTAGCCGCTTAGCCTGTCCCAGCCATTGGCTGAGCTGTGTTGAGGACTTCCTCACTCTTGTGGCAGCGGGAGCTCGCTGGCCAACAGCTTGCTGTTGCCCGTACTTTGTTGATGAGGCACTCACCCTACAGGCCGCAAACAAATCCAACATCTTCTCTAAACCGTGCCGCGCAGCCTCGGGCCTAAAGTTGCCTAGAGTGTAAAAATCGAAGCCTTGAGGCCAAACTTCAGATGGAGCAGAACTTTAACACACGCACTCTGACATACTTCTTGGCCCTCAATCCCACACGGTGCACGTGAACCCTAGCCCGTCCTGGTTTCGATTTTTGCGCTTGTCCCGAGCCTTTTTTGCACGGATCCGTGCCTCTTTGGCTCGATCTCGCTTGCCGGCCCCGACGTAAATGCCGCAGTTCCTCGCTACCACAATCAAGTCTCGCTCACAGGACTCATTATAAGGAGTTATAAGGAGTTCAGAGGGTGCACAGGTTTGGGTTGAGGGAGGACTTGCTCGCAGTCAGTCAGCAGCCTCTTTATCCCACACCAAAGCCATCAACAACAACAACCACCGCCACCAGCGTAAACCCAACCAGTGCAACCACAACCGCAACCACCACCCCTGCATACCCCTCCCACAACCTCCACAACCACAACCCTTCAAGGGCCCCGTTGCATGACCGCTTCCTGTCTGCCATCATGATGTTTAACTGTGTGCACCATCATGCCTGCAACACAGACCTGTTCAATACCATCTACTAGGCTAGGCTGTTGGTCTGAATAAGGTGGTCCTGAGCAACCTGGCCATACATCCGTTGGAGGGCGGCCCATGATCAGCCGACATGCTGACGTCATCCATGGCATTCTTCCTGACTGGCAACATCTGCGCTGCGCAATGCCAGTTCCCAAGGCCCAGGACCAAGCCACCGTCCGAACCGCCCAAATTAAGGCTTCATGAAGGCTTCATGAATTTTGCTGAGCATCTTGTCTGACTGTTGGGTCTGGGGAAGGAGTGCTTCGGGTGGGAGTGGTACATACTGTAAAAGACGCCTTGATTTTCACCTGTGGCAGCAGCCGAGCGGCTGAATGTGTCTGACCGCAGCGATGCCCAGTATCGCGCAGCACAAGATTACGCCGCCAGTGATGCCAACGATCATGCCAAGCATTTGCATCGACACCTGTGCCTGCGGTTCGAAGAAGCTGTCGCAATCCGTCTGGGCCTCGGCCGCAACAAGAACCAGCCTGGGAGAAAAACAAAACACAGCCTGAACGGATAACCTGATTTGCTACCATGACACTGTGGCAGTACTTGGGCATCGTCCATACTTGTCCGCTTGGTCGATGGGATCTACTGTCTCACAGCCGCCGTCCGTCGAGCCATCCAGATTCAAAGTGTCCTGGTGAACTGAAGCAACGGGTGTATATGTCAGCCCCCGAATCAATCCGCCATGCTGCGCACATCTTTTTGACATCATGGGCCCTGTGCCAAGTGCACTTGCTGACCCAAGTCAGGGTTGGCATGCGTAGATTGTGCTGATTAAAATTCAGCTTGCTCGCGCATGACGCGTGGGGTAGTCGGATAGAATGGGCAACTGGGCCGACGACCACGGCACAAGACATGCGGCAACATACTCTTTTGAGAAGAGTGGAGCTCCGCCACGGGGCTTTACACCCTGGAAGACTGGCGTCAGGAGGGTCAAACCTAGATGACGAGCTGCATGTTAGCACGTGACTGGGCTGCCTCTGTGCACTTTCTCTCAACCAGCTGCACAAGGTCCGCAGTGGACTTGCCCAAGGGCCCCTGGCTCTCACAGAGATTTAAGAGCACCTGCGAAAACTTCATGTTGAAGCCGTTCCAGCCACCTGTTGCATGATGATACTCTGACACCGGGCAGCGCTCGTGGACCACATGTGCCAACTTGTAGTGGCAGTCCATGTCGTTCATCTGGGCACGGTCTGCTCGTAAGTTCTGCTGGCAGTTGAACAAATTCACATCCGAACAAGCCTCCTTGGCAAGATCCTCAAAGAATGCCTCGTCGGCCTCACGATCCTGCACGACACCAGCAAATCGTTTCAAGGCGTTTGCTCGTTCTTCGCTGGTGTCTGCATTCTCATACGCCCAGAAGGCTTGGGTGACATAGATATCTCGGGTATCGACAGCACCGTTGAGAGCGTCTCCTGCCGGCTGTTCCAATTGCCGCGACGCTTCCACATTTCCAATTGCTTCGTTCAAAAAGGACTTGTCTCCAAAGCTGCAGACGTGGCTCTTGTTCGTCAGCTTGATCACCTTGGCGATCTGGCTGCTGAAGGTCTCGGAAGCGAACTTCCCGAGGTCATCATCCTGCATCCAGTTGACGGAGAAGAGGTCTCCAAGACAGGAACCGATGTTCTTGCCACGAACCTTAGCGGCATCCCCGCAGTAGGTGCCCCAAGAAGACTCCTGAGCGTTGGATGCAGTCACCGCAAGGATTTTCCCGTCCTCTTCAAGGTCTGGGAACATGGAGCCGCTCTCGCAGGCTTCCATGTAGAAGACCATCTGCTTGAACATGTGCTTGCTCTGCATGGTTTTCAGGGTTTTGGACAAGTCCTTGACATGCAGGAAGGGCCCGTTTGGGAAGGCAACGATGCCAGGGCCCCCATGGTCCACGAAGTTCACGAAAACGGTGTCATCGGCCTTGCTCTTCAGGACCTTTCCGGTGGCTCCCTCGCTGTTGCCAGTCAGGACGTCCATGAAAAGCTGCGCCGTCACCACCTTTCCTCGGTAGTCCACCTTGCAGCCCTTGTAGACATCCGGCGAGTCATCCCCAGGGCGATTGAACAGCTGACCGGGGAAAGGGTTCTCCGAAGCCTGGGCCACGTCATCCTGCATCATCAAGATGATGTTGTCGGCCGGGACGCCACTCTTCAGCATCAGCTGGTAGGCGTGACATGCATCGGCCTGGTGCCGGTAGTTCCAGAAACCCTGGGAGCCGGCAGCGATCACTGCCCACTTCTCGGCGGACGCCAGCATTGGAAGAAGTGCCAACAACACCTGCATCGCCATTGATGTAAGGGGCGTAAGCTACGAGGGCGCCACTGCTGAGCTGTTCGATGCTGCTAGATAAGCTTGAGAGAGCACGATGCGGAAATCAGAGTTCCATGGTCCAAGTCCCGCCTGTTGCCTACGCCTACAATGCAAACACGAGCCTGGTCATCAGGAAACCGGCTCTTTACAGATGCAAGGCCCCAAACGGGCTTCAACTACCACATGCAGGGCTAAGCACATGCAAGGAGTCTCATCCTCGCTCACGAAAAGCAGCAACGCATACCAGATCGAGTGGGTGAAGAAAACGCACTGGTCAAAAGCCTGGCATCCCCAAGTGCATGTCTCTGGCGTGATTCCTCATTCTGGTGTCTGGAGCATGGGCAACTCAGGTCTTGACAGCTTTGGCTTCCGTGATGTTCTGATTGTACCTCACATCATAACCATGCATGACCCCTAACTATGGCTGGGCATGTCGCTTATCAACAAAGAGCTGCACGGATACGTGGCGTCACCCTGTCTTGTTTGAGGCTTCCAAATGTGGTTTCTGAAATCTGGTGGCCAGGCGTCTGCTCCAGTGCCGCCTGCGTGGCTTTCTGCTCATCGGTGGCCAGCTCGAGGGTTGTCGTGGTGCTTGTTGTTGACGGCCTACGCGCAGGTGGAGAAATCCAGTTTCGTGTCTGTCTGAAGTCGGTGTCCTTCACTTAAACCTGCTCCATTCGGCACTTGGCCTGCATCTCCTAGGGTGTCCTGCAAGCCTGATTCTTAGTCTGCCTGAGTCTCTCTCTCTCAGAGGCGCTCACTCCATGTCAGTCTGCCTGAGTCTGAAGACTCAAACCTCGAACCCTTCTGAACCTAATGATTCCACCCTTCCGACTGCCCCCGTGGGCCAGCCGGTCCTAAGTTCAGTTAAGGCGTTGCCACGTACTTCGGGATAAGGGCAGCTGAGTCTGTGTCCGCTTCCTTCGTTCCAATGCAGGGTTTCATGCAAGGCCATACGGTGCCTCCAATAGTCTACAACACCGAAATGGGGTAGACAGCTCGAGCAAACGAGACAAACACTGAGCCACAACTTTTTCACATGGGTCTGGGATTCCGTCCTCCAAAACAGCTCCGGGCCCGTGTGGCCGACGATCCGCTCACAGGCATCCTTGGGTTCAAAGAAGTATTCACTTGGCTGACTTCTGAACCCCTCCTAAAAGATTAATTTTTAGGCCCCTGATTTTAGTTTCAAGAAAAACCCCTGATTTTAGTTTCAACAAAAACCCAAAAAGTTAAAGTCCTGAGACACAGCCAGGAGAAAGCCAAGTTCAAGTCTTCCTTCCTTCTTACTGTTCTTTCATCGGGGCAGGTTTAGTGCTCGCAGTTTTAGGCTAGGGTTGCGACCTTGCAAGCAGTCACAGGCACGAGAAGGTGAAGGTGCTTGCGTCGGCAGCTTTTCAGTCTCATGCAGGCACAAGGCAGGCAAGGCTCCGCGGTTTGAGTGTAGGGCTCGGGATGGTTCGGATTGGCAATCAAATTTGGTGTCAGGATGAAAAATAACAATATTTGGGTTTGGGCTTTTGGTTCCGGAACTTTCCGGGCATCCCTTCGTCTTGCACTCCCTTGAGGGTCGTAGCCCTGCCACTCTGTAGAAATGATGAGCAGCCCCGGTCCAAGGTTAAGGGGGGCACAGTTCGGAGGGTACATGAGTAAGAGTTGTCAGTGAGCTCTTGAGGTAACATGGCCCATGAACGATTGGAAGCTTAACATGGCCAGGCTGCGTAGAAGGGTTCGGCGGCTGTGAAGTTGTGGAGGCCATACTTACAGACTGTTCCGCTATACTGGTCCACAGGTCCGGCCAGCGCATCCATGACATGAAGGTAGACTTTGATCTGAGAGTGCGTGTCGTAGTGCATCATGTCTTTGGAGTACAAATTCTTCGCTATGCACTGAAAGCCGGGGGCAGCCACAACATAAGTATCATAGACCTGGTCATCATTCTTCTTGAGGTACATGCTCGCCAGGGCGGCATGTGAACCACCAAGCCCCATGCCAGCCAAGTAGACGGTTTTGGTGAACTGCTGGCCTTCTGGCAGCACCGTTCGCACCAAGGCCTTGATCAGAGGCCAAAGGCCTTCAGAGTCCAGGTAGGACTGCGTAACTTCGGATGCCACGGAGACCTGCTCCACATCCACGAAGGGAGAATACACCTCGTTCAGAAACGCGCAGCGGATTGGGAACTCATGTAGTTGATCTGCCTTCCTTGGTTCAGCTTCGACGCCACAGCCCTCGTTCAAGCTGTTATGAACTTGTCCAAGTATGTGCCAGCTCCTTTGGCATGACACTCTAAGGGTTTAGAATGCCTGTAGCTGGCTTCCTTCGCGGCCCAAAACAAACGGACTCAGAGCCTTGATTAGGCTGCTACCCTGATAACACACATTCCCAAACCGGTCTGGGCTGAGGCGCCTGTAGGTGATGTTCGGTGAGGACGATTGCTGGGCACTGATCAGCCACTGCTCTCGAAGAGAGTCCCTCAACAGTGGGCCCGTGGGCTAGGTTTTTCGAAGTTAGGCTTCAGGGTTGGGTAGGCTTTGCCTTTTTCGGCCTCTAGGCCTCTAGACTTTGTCGCAGTGAGGGTTCAGTCATTCAGGCCTGGCCTCTGGTCTCATTTTGCCACCCTGGGCTTAGATGTGTTTGCTATCTGCCTAGCTGAAAACTGGCGAGATTGACGCTCTGCCGGGAAACTCACTGGAAAAGGGGCAATCAATCCGTGCTTTTCCTGTTTAGCAGGAAACCCCTTCCCGAACTTGCAGCGCCATGCGAACGGAGAACGGACCAAACCTTCAGTTCGCATGGCCTGCTCAAAGTGAAGGTTCAACAGCTCAAGCCAACTTCATGACAAACCTGCCCAGCAACCGTCTGAACACCCTGTCTGCACCCAGAACGAGGACTATGTACATGAAGGGAAGATGCTGGCACATGACTCAAGTGCAGGAATATACAAGGCCTGTCCGACACACATCAACTACACACGGCCTTCACTCAAGCGATGCATCAGCTCGTACAACCACATCATCAAGGCCACATCATTCCTACCCCTCTATAACAGTATAAAGGATACCCGAGGATGCAGGCAGTAGGACGATGTAGCCCAATCACGAGAAGCCCGTGCCGAGGAAACAGCCAGCAAAACCCAGAAACTGGTTCCTCAACAAAACCGGAACAGCATTCCTGAAATCTCAAACGATTGGCCGGTGGAGTGCCCCACCCCACCCCCTCCCCCCAATCAATTCAAGGGTTTAGGCGAAGGGCTTTGGCTATCAGGGCTTAGGGGTTTGAAGGTTCAGCTGCCGGACAGTGGGGGATTGGATTTCTTTCAGGAGACTTTAGGAGTTGGTCGCTGTGATTTTGTGGTTATTCGTTTCGCTGGAGGCATCTTGCGGCAGTTTGTGGTGCGCCTGTAAAACCTCAACTGACCTCAACCGCCCGATTCGGAAAAAGTCATTCCGAGGGGCTCATACTGCTCAAGCAGCCACGCCTGTCTGTTCAGAATTTGCGGACCCTAAACCCTAAACCCTAAACAGGGACAAGACATGTTGGAGCTCAATGCTCCGACACAAAGCATCGAAGCTCGACAGCGACAAAGACCAAAAGTGCTGAGCCACACATTCCAGCCTCCCAGCCTCACCCCATCAAAAATAGCCGACAAAGTTCCGCAAAGCCACCCTAAACCCCTCCCCAATCCCCACCCCTATGGGCGGGAACAACAAAGACCCCATCGGCAAAGCTAGAGCCTCAGAAGCGCGCGCCTTGTTTTGCCAAATCAGATTTGCCAGGTCTGAGCTCCCGAGACCTGCCTGCAGCACCTGAATAGAGAGCTTCAGGGTCTTCGGGGAAGAGTGTTTTCGGTTCTAGGATGCTGAAGGGACTTAGGCTTAGGGGTTCAAGGTATTTGGCTTACAGTAGGGTTTAAGCGTTGAGGAGCTGTTGGGCTCAAAGCTGCAAGGTTTGGGGTTTCGACTTTTATTGTGCTCGGTCAGGGTTTGATGTATAGTTCATGCAGGGCAGAGTAACCTGCGTGGTTCTGTTCGTGAAAAGCATCTGGCACTGACTTCATTGTTTTACACTTCTGCAAGCCGAACGTCAAGACTATGTCTCAGTCAGTGATAGCACAGAGCTTTGCAGACATGCCTACCTAGTGAGGTGAAGTCGGGAGACAAAAAGACAGGAAATCGGCAGACTTGGAAATGGAGCGCACTTAGCGCATGCTGACGTACACACTTTCCAAAAATCACCACACAGAATTGCTGCATCTTGACACGCCTGAGGACCAACCGCCCTGAACACAGCCAGAGGCACCAGAATCATCGAGCTGTCATCCTCGTAACGCGACATGGCAACGCCCTGGCAGAGAGAACAAAAAGGCTGAGGGCACGTGTCTCTATGGTTCAAAATATGGCACAGTGTGAATCAAACGACAGGGCTCTTTCGTTTCCCCCAAAGCCCCTGGCCGCAGAACAACTGCGAAAACTCGTGAACAGCGAAAGCTAAAGTCCGATGACAGGCCCATGCAAAGAAATCCCAAGAAGCCCCAGGCCCTGTAGTCATCCCAACCCTTCATACCTTTAAGTCTTCAACCGCCTCAAGTCCCCAGATCAGCCCCCAATTTTCTGCCCCGAAACCCTTCAAAGCCTTCTTTCGTGGCTCCGAGTCCGAGCCCCTGCTACCCCTGCTGCCTCATCTCCGAAGCATCGCTCCCCAACCGTAGTCGCCTGGGCACCTCCAGATCCACAAAACGGGTACTCTGCAAAACCGCCCAAATGTGAGATTAAATACTGGGAAAAACACCCCTATATGCGGAAGTTCGGGCATATGTTCCCCATACGAACCTTACTAACCTTAAACCCAAAACCCGCCGGTCAGATGACTTCGGCTTTCGGCGGCGAAACTGTCTTCGAGAACCCACCACAAGGTTCATGGACTCCCTGGTGTTGGCATGCACCACCGTGCATTGTGGACACCTGCGCGCGGCAGAGGATTACATGAAAGGCGTAAGGATTCCGCCGCTAAGGTGAACGTGCGAAGAGCGATCGCGAAACGTACAGGGACACCTTGGTCACCATAACTGGGCCGAATGTCTGCAGATCCTAATGTTACCCACGGATCTTTAGCGGGGCTTGAAGCGCGCGTCTGCCATACAGGGTACTGTCTTGGTCCATATCTGCTGCGGATTGATTTTGTGGTACTGTGAGAATATGGTTCGGGTATGTTCGGGTACTCCAAAAATTCCCAACATGAAGAGAAACGCGCTACACACGTCGACCCGTCCCGAGGAAACTTTCTCACTTAGCTGCACATAGCTGTGCTAGCTGCTGAGCTGAGCACAGCCCGTGGAGCGAGCTCCGAGGAAACTGTCGCTCTTCCAGGCGGTTCCTGCTGCCTCATGCAGAGATACAGGCATTTGAACAAAGATGATATTTGCGTATACCCATTTTCCTATCTGTGTTTATGAGCTATGAAATATGTTTGTGTGCCCGCCTGGCTGGGACAGATCTTCAGGGCTGAGACTTGCACGGCACGCTCCACCATTGTTCTGGCACGAACTATAGTTACCTTACCCAGGTGGTTAAAAAAACTGCAAGGATACCTCAGCCTTGCACTAGCCAAGGAAACTCTCCAGCCCAAGAGTTGTGCGGGGGTGCGTTTCCGAGCCTGCAGTGCTCCATACGAGGCTGCGCTAACTTGGCAAGACACATACTTTGCAGTGCTGTGCGTCTGTGCATGCACGTTCTTGGAACCCGCTGCATCCTGCACCCGCTTCTGAACCTTATCCCACACCAATTGAAGGCGCGAAGCACCCGCAATCAAAGTTTTGGATGTTCCAAACGATGGTGCAGTGCTTCAGAAGAGATACATGCCCTTAAACGTTAACCTGGCTAACAAACCTCTGAGGGGGCTGCCGTCCGCAGCTCCGTCCGGCTTTCTGTGAGAGCTGCAGCCTCCTCAGTTTTGAAGCAAGTTGTGGCTTTCTTTGGACCCAGGATTTGGGGCGACGCAGAAAGAAGCTGAAACCTTTCGTTTCCAGGGTTCTTAAAAGCCATTCGGGGCTGCAGCCAGGTGTCCATGCTGACCAAGTTTTTTCCAAAGGAAGCATTGACAGCTTCGATACACTCCGAGGCATTGTTGGAGATAGAAGCGTTCTCACACCAATTGATGAAAAAGCTCGTGCCCGCGTCGTAGACTTCGCTGAACTGATCATAGTTGAATGATTCCTCGAGCAGGAGAATTGGGGCTGGAGCCACAGAGCAGGCAGCAGGCCAAAGAGTTCTTCTGTCACTCGTCAGTTCGAAGCTGCAAGTTCAAGAAGACGAGGAAAAAGTGAGGATCATGCCCATGCAGGAGAACAAATCGTGCAATGCAAATCATCCGAGTGGCATTTTGGTACACTGCGAGGGGAATGCTTGCCTCGGCTTATAAACATGCACTTCTAGGAATGCGAACCACACATGAAGAGCCTCCGGGCACTTGATCATACGATATTGTACGCATCAGCAAGCTGCGTCTGTTTGTATGGGTCAGCTGATAGAGACCTACATCCAGCTTGCTGCCGCGCTTCTGCCAGCAGAGCAACAACCTCAGTTGCATAAGCTGGTTGTCCTGAGAACCCTGGAAGGAGCGGTTCCTTACGCCTCAGACCCAAGCCGAACCTGGACCATGGGAGCTGGAGCTGGGCCCCTGAAAGCTGCTTTGAAACGTGAGGGAGTCAAGGCAACTGTTCAACCGGCGTGGTCGGAAATAGCATCGTAAAATCGCCTTGCGCCGACAAGCCGTTGCACCCCATGCCGTTGCGCTGATGCGCCGCTCGCGGGCCCCAGAAGGTAAGCCCTAAGCCTGGAATCCTAGAACCTGAACACGCCTGCATCCCCAGAAAAGCCGAGGAAACGGCCGAGGGGCTGAGCGGACCTTGTCCCGGGGAGTGCGGAAGGCAAAGGGCGCCGATGCTGCAGACTTCAGGAGGCTGGAGCGAGGGATGCTGGCGAGCATTCCTTGAATTTGTGGTGGAAATTTATTCAAACGGGGGGACAGCGTTTTCTGGTGATCTGCTCAGGGGACGGCATGCCAGTGCAAGGCCTGACAACACTGACAACTGACGACCCTGAGCCTAAAGGCTCTACTCATCCTTCACACAGCCCGAAACTGCATCTTACCCTCGATGCAAGGCTCTCCCTCGACTGGCGTGGGCCGAGGAATCCTCGTTGAAGAAGCCTCAGCTGGAATCTTAAGGGAACCTCGAAATTCTGGAGGCCCTATAGACGAAACCAGAAAAAGGCCGGGGTCTTGAGAGGCCTGACAGCTCTTCTCTGCCTCAGTCCGGGGCACCCTGGCTTTGGGGACTCTCGGGCGTTCGGTGATGAAGCCGTGGGCTATTTTGTGACGCAAGTTATATAACAGGATGCTTCCGTCTCTCGCTCTTATGCACTCTTGCATACCGATGTTTGTCCGAGTTAGTGCTGGGCCGGTGCTTGTGGTCTCCCCATCTTGACAGGGGCCCGCCGATGAGACTACCCAACACTCGACCTGGTATGCTGGAGAAGCTCCGACATTTGAAGTCCCAAAGCAGCCCAGAGACGACTCTCGAAGTCCTCCGGCACCATCGTCCTCGCTAGCCTCCCCAAGGCTCTCCATGTCGAGCAGACAATAATGACACATAAACATTTCTGTCCAGGCAACATGCTTTGTTGATGTTGATCGTTGTGCTTGTATGGTTTGTTTGTGCGAGGAGGACCTCCGACTCCTAACGGGCCATCGTCCCTTGGAAGCTCCATGGGCCCGGTCCGAGTTTCCAGGCTTCATGGCCGAAGCATGTTCAAACCCTTCGTACCCGATGCTTGGCAGGGTGCAGTTGGATTTATCAGGCGATGATCCCTTTGTCCTCCCCCATGCAGCGGAAAGTAAAAATCACAAAGCCCTGAAGCTTGGAGCTGAATTTCTCAAGGACTCTTTTCAATAAAAATGGTTTCTTTACTCAGAAGCACTGCAGATATGGCACAGAGCTTCATCAAGTAAACTGAACTGTCGCAGCCTCCACCTCGGTGGCTTCTTCCGCATATGGCCTGCCACAGACTATGCCGGCTATGCGGAACCAAAACGACACAAGAACAGGGAATCTGCCGCATTCTACCAAAGAATTCCCGGGCGCCTTTCGCAAATCCCTTGGATGCTTTGCCCTTCGGCCGATGCGCTAGATGAACCTTGGAAGTCTTTGCGTTCGGGGTGTGGGATTTATTCTGTGGTCCACCCATGCCTGAGAAAACTGAGGTTCTCGCGCTTTTGAGGCGCATGCCTAAGACATCCACCTCTGGAAGGAGACCGTGTTCGTGCAGGTCGAAAAGCGTGGCGGTTTCGAAAGCTGGCGGCCTGGGTTCTCAGACAAACTCGAAGCCCCCTGAGTTTGATCGAGCGCAACGCTGGAAGGCGGCACCGCGATAGCATGCGATAGCTGAGTCCCTCACCGCGTGGAAACAACAAGAAGCGGCAGCAAAATCCATGAAGCATAAACCTCACATCGAGAACAAGCCATCTGCAGAGACTCGTGCATCGCGATGGTTTTGCCGAATGCATCAATGCATACTAGGTGGGGAGCAATGCCGTTTGCTTTCACGAAGGGCATCAGGACATACCAGCCCCAGCTGTGTCAGGCCAGGCAGCTCGCATCATCATATCGCTGTGGGCACTCGTCACAGGCTCCGATGGACCATCCCTTCGGGAGGACGCTGCGGCCTGCTACAGTCGGGTTCTTGTGAACGGGGGGCTTCAGGCTTCAGGCGACAGTCCACCTGGGGTTACTCGCCCATATACTGATCGGAACCAACTGGGTCCCCGCCTCTCTTCTTCTTCTTCTTCTTCTTCTTCTTCTTTTGGTGGGCTTGAGGGAGAACTCCCACCATCGCTCTCCCACTCTCCCAAAAGCCGCTTGAGATTCTTCTCAGATACTTCTGACAGCTCATGAGCCGGGATCTCACAGCTCATGAGCCAGCGACAAAATGACGTCCGCCCCCCCCCCCCCCCCCCCCTCCATGCCGGGGGATACTGCCCAATTGGTTTGGAGGGCGGGGGGGGGGGGGGGAGGCTCCACTAATCAGCATTCAACATCATCCCATCTCTCGCAACTTCCGAACCTCTCATTGGCCTCAGCACAACCTTTTCGAAGTACCCCCCACTCCTCCGACATGGTATGTTTCCCGTTCCTGGCTCTCTGGTCTCTCTCCTCTTCTTCTTCTTCTTCCTCTTCCATGTCTGCTTCCTCTTCCTTTTCCTCTTCCAATTAGTCTTCCTCTTCTTCTTCTTCTTCTTCTTCTTCAGGGCTTGAGGAGCCCCGAGGGGACGCGTGCCGTGCGGTTCTCTGTCCTCGCGAAACTCACCGCAAGAACTCCCTGTTCAGGTCGTAATGTTCCCCCCAAACACCGAGGTCCTTCGAAGCCGTCACGCACGGCTTTTTTCTTCTCTGAGGGCCTGAGCAACCCTCCACCAGCCTCGATGACCAGGTTGCTGTAGTGACACGCCGCTGACCCCCTGAAATGGCGTGCTAGGTTTCGGGCTGTCTGTCAACCACCACCACTTTGCTAATGTCTCCTTTGTTTTTTGTTGATGGCCTGCCTCTCTTCTTCTTCTTCTCCTTCTTCTCTTCCGAGGAAAGGTCCCCCGGATCTCTGCGCACAAAGCGTGCTCTTAGGGTCGTTCGGTGTGATACCACTCAGTGGAAAAGGAGGAGTCTCCTCTCTCCCTCTCCCTCTCCCTCTCTCCCTCCCTCCTTCTTCTACTCAGCCCAGAGGCCTCTCTCTCTGTCTCTCTCCCTCTCACTCCCTCCCTAAAGAGCCTCAAAGAAGCAAGCTTTTGCAGAGCATGGCCTGACGAGGCCCTGGCCCTCGGGTCTACATCGCTGGATGCCAGAGCCAACCGCTGCAGGGTCCAAAGTTCCAAAGTCGGGTCTCGAATGTCTCGAGTTGCAAGGCACCTCGCACACCCTCAAATAGTACTTCGTCCCTACGAGTAGCTGGCTGATGCCGCAACCTGGTGGAAATATCCTTCAAGCTTCACCAAGTACGGAGCAGCCACATACATGTCACATGATGAGGGTGCGTCTCTGTCTGTGTCGTGTGTTGGTTCCTGACAGTCCCGCTTAGCGCTGCGCGTGAAGCTGGTCACACAGGCGAACGGCTCCACTGACGCTGTGCATAGTAGCTTGCTCAACTTAGTCTGAGCACCACACGTCTGCTCAGTGCTCTTGATCTCCCAGCTGTTTTGCACTTTGACGACGACATGCTCGTCCGGCGCAGTTTGTGAGCGCGGGGCGCGAAGACCATTCCTTCGCAGCGCTAGAGAAACTGGAGCTTCATATGATTTGGCTGCCTTGAATCCTGGGATTCCCTGCCTCTGGAAAAAGAGCTGGGGTTAGTTTGACAGCAGGCTCCTGATGTCAAGGCATGCCCGCCTCTCTCTGTCTCATCTGGTCTGTTGTTGGACGAGTCCGAGAGGGCCGAAATTGAGGCCGGCCGGCAACGCAAGGGTCGCGCAGGCGAAACATAAAAGCTGCGCGTCTCTGCAGATCGCAAAGACGCTTACGCCCAAATGTACAGTCGATGATTCAAAACCGGCATCGTCGGACGTACCTGAAACATCCTGAAACACCGTATGTCAGCATATGGGCGCCTTGGCTACCCTGTAGGTTTGACGATGCAGGATTCACGGCATCAACAATGGCTCATTCGCACCGAGGTGCTGGACGACAACAGGCTACTGCCTTTGCGGAGCACCAATGCCGAGGAGGGAACAGACTGGAAGCCAACACCACAAGAACGGGAACTAATTAATGCCCTTCGGGCGCTGGAACGGCCGCGGACGAATAAATAAGGAGCTCTGAGAACAAAATTCCTCAGCCGGTAGATTAAAGATGATTACAGGCTGACCTGCTATTTTAGATTCACAAATCGTGGGGCACATTGCCTTTGTCGCGGCGAAGGTGGGGGCTTCCTTGTGCCTGCAAAAGCCACTGGATGTGATTCTTTTGCAGGCCCGAGTTTGTTGACTCGGTCTGGCATTGTGCACTTCTGCTACTACGACGTTA